TATAATTGGGCTTTTTATATTAGATTAATTTGAAAACAATCAAAAATAAAAGGGAAAATCCCTGATTCTCATCTGAAACACAGAGATAACCATGACTGTAGCTTAAGTCAAACAGTACAACTGATGCGGTGCCAAGGGCTGAGTGGTAGTATTCCCTAAATGCACAGAGCACTTATAGAGCCCCAGCTGGGGCCTTAGGGCTGACTCTGCATTCCCACACCTGCAAAGTGAGCTCAGAAACAACAGTAGCAGCAATAACAAAAAAAAACAAAAAACAAAACAAAACAAAAAAAAAAAAAAAACAAGAAATCTCCTAAGACAGCATGCAACTAAACACCAAATGACTAGTGCAATGTGTACAGGACAGATCTCTGTGCCTGGTGTGGTCAAGAAAGGTTCAGTGGGGGGTGCTTGGGTGGCTCAGTGGGTTAAGCCTCTGCTTTCGGCTCAGGTCATGATCTCAGAATCCTGGGATAGAGACCCACATCGGGTTCTCTGCTCAGTAGGGAGCCTGCTTCCCCCTCTCTTTTTGCCTGCCTCTCTGCTTACTTGTGATCTCTCTCTCTCTCTCTGTCAAATAAATAAATAAAAATCTTAATTAAAAACAAAAACAAAAACAAAAACAAAAAGGTTCAGTGGTGTGAAGCTTGAAGGTGGTGTGAAGGCCAGGAAGGCCTTGGAAAGGTTGAATGAGGAACAAAGGGCATTCCAGGAAGGCATTCTGTGAAAACAAGGGTGTAGGGATAAGCCTGGGAAGGTGCTCAATGCCAGCCTTCTATCTTCCAGCTCGAAGTGCTTCCATCAGTAGGATTTTTCAGGAAAACAGTGTAGTGTTTAAAAACCAAGGCTCTGGGGGTGCCTGAGTGGCTCAGTTGGTTAGACAACTGCCTTTGGCTTGAGTCCTAATCCCAGAGTACTGGGATCAAGCCCCACATGGGGGTCCCTGCTTAGCGGGGAGCCTGCTTCTCACCCTCCCTCTGCCGCTCCCCCTGCTTGTGTGCTCCTGCTCTGTCAAATAAATAAATTTTTAAAAAAACTGAAATAAATAGAATAAATTCAAAATAGATAAAAACCAGGTCTCTGGATCTGAATCCTGCCACCTTGACCGATCAGTTTTGTTAACTCTGGTTAGTTACCTAAATCTCCTCAAATTTTGGTTCTATGCCTAAATTAAGGCAAAGGACTATTACATCTCACTGTTGCTGTAAGAATGAAGTGGATATACCAGCAAACCTCAGCACAACAGAGTAAGCACTCAGTAGTTGCTGTTATAGGAAATTCTATAGGACCAACAACCTGGTTTCTTCAAGAAATAAACTCAAGGTACAGGGGCATGTGGGTGGCTCAGTCAATTAAACATCTGCCTTTGGCTCACGTCATGACCCCAGGGCTCCGGGATTAAGCCCCACATTAGGCACCCTGCTCAAGGGGAGTCTGCTTTTCCCTCTCCCTCTGCCCCTCCTTCCGCAGTGCACTCTCTCTCTCTCACCCACTATCTGTATCTCATATAAATAAATAAAATCTTTAAAAAAAAAAAAAAAAAGGAAGAAATTCAAGTTAGAGAAGGAAACATTACAGATTTAAAAACCTTAAGAGACGTATCAACCAAATACAACGTATGGGCCTTATTTAGATCCTAAATACATCAACTGCAAAAAAGAAAAAAATTAGGAGGCAGAGAAATTCGAATACTGATTGCAAATATGATGGTATTATGGAATTACTGGTTTTTAGGTGTGATAATGACAATGTGTGTGTGTGTGTGTGTGTGCATGTTTGTTTTTAAGAGTATCATTTAGAGACACACAATAAAATATTTGCAGGTAAAAAATGTGACATCTGGGATTTGCTTTAAAATAATCTGAGATGCAGGGGCTCTTGGGTGGCTCAGTCAGTTAAGCATTAGACTCCTAATTTCTACTCAGGTCATGATCTCAGGGTGGTGAGATCCAGCTCAAGCCCTGGCGTCAAGCCCTGTGCCTGCCCATGTCCTTACTGGGCTCCAAGCTGGGCATGGACCCTGCTTAAGATTCTCTCTCTCCCTCTCCCTCTGCATCCCTGCCACCCTGCCCCTGCTGGCTTGCCCACTCCCTCCAAAAAAAAAAAAAAAAAAAAAAAAACCACCCAAACTAAAATAATCTGGGATGCAAATGAAGCAAGCCTGGCTATATGCTCATAAACGGTACAGGTGGTGAAGGATACATGGGAATTCACTCTACTATTTTTTCAGAAATGTTTGTAATTTTCCTTAAAAAAAAAGTCTAAAAATAAATTGAGTAAATGGTAGCTGTTATGACTGCTATGTTTTCACGAATATATATGAGAATGTAAGCAAGGATAATGGCTTATCTTTGTTATCTGTTCCCTTCCCCACAGGGCCCAACTCTTGAGTCTTTTGCATATGATTCAGCTCAGTGTAAACCTCCCTCAATGTAAATCACTCTCTTGCTTTTAGAACACTTTGATAATTTCCCTCTCCTCTAGGGATAAGAGCTCCAATTCATCATAAGGCTGTTTAATTTTTAAAGGCCCTGCCCATCTCTTTAGCCTCGATTCAGATCACTTTTCTTTTCATATTCAGTGAATGAACTTTTTTCTGTTCCTCAAATGAGGAACACACCAACCTCTCACAGACCCTCAGCACATGTTGTCCCTAATTCCCACAATATTTCTGCCCTCACCACCTATGTGCCCAACTACCTTTCATCTAATTATCTCCTACTCTTTCTTCAGATCTCCCCTCAACCTCCATTACTTCCTCCAGCCTCTAGAGACCAGCCAACTCCCAAGATGGGTAATTCTCCTGCATATACACTCTCAGTCAGCCACATATCTCTCCTTCACAGGACTTAGCACAACTGTAATATTAAATTTTGTTGTTATATATCACTGCATTGCCAGCAATTAGCACAGGGCCTGGCCTAGAGCAAACGGCCATTATTTATTGAATAAACAAATGAGTAAATGATGATTCACTGACAAACAGACCCCCTTCATATGTTCCCGCTGCTGCCACAAGACCTCACTCAAATGTTCTCCTTGAAATGGCTGGCATTAAAAATCCCAGTTCTCCCCTCACCAGTCATCGCCCACGTTGAAGGCATTAAGGCTCTTGGTGAAGCCTTGCATATTGGTGGGGCTGACTCTCTGCAAGAAGTCGATGTAGTCCTCAGAGTGAAAGCGGCACATGTCATGCTGGGAGGCCTGGTATGGCTTGAAGACCTCGGGATGGAAACATAAGGTGAACCCCGGCGAGATCAGTCCCATTCATTAGGTTCAGACTGCCCACACTGAACCCAGCCCCGTGGACTGTCCACATCCACACACATCAGCAGTCCCCTTACCCCTCCAATCCTTGTTATTCTATGAAGCAAAGGTCAATTTAGAAGAGAGGCTCTGATGAGCCAGCTGGGGTACTATGATCAAGCCTCCTAAAGACCAGTGCACTTGCCTTCTCCTTCCCACTTCCAGACTAATCTTTCCCACCTTTTCTCAACCTTGAGCCTTTATCCACCTATTTTTTATTCTTTTCATACTCATCTCCTCCCCCTGCCTCTGATTCCATCCTCTCTCTTCTCTGAATTCTTAATTTTAGAATTAAATAATATGGGATATATGACAACCTTTTAATCAAAACCCAGGAGAGCCACAGTGCTAAGCTAGAGACTTACTACCTTTGGGGAAATTTCACACACTTCTTTAGAAACTGGGCAAGAACAAAAAGCTTCTCTCCCCAGAAAATGCACATGGGTACATACCAGCAAACAATTTCAAGGGAGTCATAGATTCATGCACTAACATCACCTCAGTCTTTTCTGTAGCTAATTCACTTGTCTGTGCCTCAGCACAGTGGACAACACTCATTCATATTGTTGACTAATTCCCCTTGTGACGCATGAGGGCTGAGCTTAACTGTTACAATCGCCTATCACAACTATAAATTCCAAGTTGGGGACTGTCCACCTCCATGTATGTATCTGGGAGATGGAGGATTGGGTAGCAATTAAGTAGAACCCTGTGGGGGATATTCTAAGTTGGTAGGGAAGTACCCAGGACATTTCCCGCTCTCTTCCACACACACATACACATTTGCACAAAGGGCTCCAGAGTTCTCCCTGGAGCTCTAGCTCCTTGGAGGTGGCTAGAGGTGGCAGTGAAAGGGTGAGAACTGCGGTGGGAAGACCGCACATCCAGATAAAGTGATCCATCCCCTCTCTCCTGAAGCCACAGCACTGCCCACATCCCAAGACGCTGGGGAGGAAACACCTTCTCTCTTCAAACCACCCCCAACTCCACCCTAACCATAGGCCCGAGGTTGATCTACCTGAGGTCAAAGGGTGGCCGACCTAAGGTAAAAAAATAATTTCCATTAAGTCGGTGGACCCACCCACCAACACTCTGCTGATGGCGGGCGGTCCTGGCTGCTTCCATCCACCCTGCCCCCCACCCCAAGGGTGGGTCGCACTTGGTGCATTCAGGGCAGCCCAACTATCCTATGGCCACACAGCTCGCCCGCACCCTCAATATCCAGCAGCGATGGGGAGACTCACGATCATCTTCTTATAGAGACCGTAGTGCAAGACCAAACTATGGGTCAATGCCAAGCGATGGGGCTTCATAGGGTGCCCTGCCCCTGGGGGTGGGAGAAGAGAGTTCGTCAGTTCCCGTCGCTGGAGTTTTAGCCCCCGCCTCGAAACCTCCGCGTCCTGAAGCCCCTCGCGTACAGCCTTGCTCCCTCACCGTAGTGGAAGTTGCCCACGTCTGGGTCGTAGAAATAGGCCACGGTCTTGGCCATGGTGCCGGCGGGAGCAGGCCCCGCGCCTCCGCCGCCCGCCCCGCCGCCTGCCCCACCCCCGCTCCTACGTGCTGCGTCAGCACGCAGCCTGCCTCTGCGGAACCAGGAAGTCCAGGCCACGCCCCCAGGCCACGCCCCCTGCGGAGTTCCGCCCCTCGCTTGGCTTCGCCCTTCTAGGTTTCCGAGCGTAAGCATCTGTGCTCTGCGGCGGACGGGTAGCATCGGTTCTAGGATGCGAGGGTCATCTCCTCCCGGGCAGGGGTCAAATCCTCGGGAATCCGAGACATCTCGTCCAGCCAGCTGCCCCAAACGGGGCGCAGGCCATTGTCACCAGTCTAGGAGACTCCGGAGAACCGCCACTCCGTCCCTCTCCGGTGCAGAAAGCAAGCTTCCCCTGGTCCGCTGGGAAGATTCCTGGCTATCCACCAGACCGAGGCATCTGAGGGCAGGAGATGAGCCAAGCATGCGGGATAGAACAGTGGAGAGCACTTTGTTCTGATTGCCTGTCCTCCCCACCCGAACTCTGACTCGGCGCCGCACACTCCCCCCGGGGGGGACGGAGGGGGGCGGCGCAGTCACGCGCGCCCCACACTTGCGCTCACAAGCACGCAAGGCTCTCTCTCTCCGCCCCGCACACCTGCGCTCCGCCCCCTGGTCCCGGGCTGGCGACTGGAGAAGGCATTTGGGAACCTAGGGCGGCTGCGGCGGCGCCCCCCCATCCCCGTTTCCTTCCCCTTCCCACAGCCGGAGTTGTCCGGAGCCAGCCGCAGCTCCCAACCAGCCCGCATCCCTCTTCATCCTTCCCTCCCCCCGCCTGCCGCGGCACCGGTATCTGCAGCCAGAGCCCGGAGCCGGTGAGGCGGCGAGGGGGGGAGGGGGAGGAAGCAAGGGATGAGCGCCGGGAGGGCGTCGGGGGCCCTAAGCCGGACTAGGACGTCCCTGGAGACGGAACCCGAGCCGGAGCCGGAGCCAGAACCAAGCCACCGGTACCGAGTGGGCCAAGTGGTCAGGATGGGAGGAACCGAAAGGGGTGGCGTTGTGCGGGAATACAGGCAGGGGAGGGGGTTGCAGAGGCCTGGCTCAGGCCGACGCGGAGGAGGTGCGGACGCTGACTCAGGCGCGATTCTTGCGCCCGCCGCCTGAGAATTCCGTCCCATCTCGCTCTGCAGTGTCCTTGGGAGGGACGGAAGCTCAGGACAAGCTGGAAAGGGGAACGCTCTGGGCGTCGGGGAAGCAGGATCAGGGTCGTGGAAGAGGGCTTGCGCAGCCACCGTCTGGCACCCCTGCCCCGGACCAGCACCCCTGGCACGGACAGCTCCTTGGTTGGGTAGGGGGGTGGGGCCGGACCTCAGAGGCTCGTCGGTTTCGGGTCCTGAGGACCGAATTCCTATCCCTCCCCCAGTCCCTAGCTGCAGCCCCCTAACCCCAGGAGGCGCCCTGGCCCGCGCTCGCCCCCCAGGGCCTCATGTCGGAACCACAGCCTGACCTGGAGCCGCCCCAACATGGGCTATACATGCTCTTCCTGCTTGTGCTGGTCTTCTTCCTCATGGGCCTCGTAGGCTTCATGATCTGCCACGTGCTCAAGAAGAAGGGCTACCGCTGCCGCACGTCGAGGGGCTCGGAGCCCGACGATGCCCAGCTCCAGCCCCGTGAGTGAGGAGCCTAGAACCCGGCTCAGTCACCTTCCTCCCATTTCCTTCACCCCACACCTCTTTCTGACTTCCTGATCAAGAGACCCAGGCCAAATCCTGACCAAGGCTTAATGATGCTTTCTTGAGTCAGCAACTGGGATGACACCACCCTGAAAGCAAGCCTAGGAAAGGCAGCATGGGTGGGAAGGGCCCACTGTTGATAGTCTTGGGCTCCCACTGACTTTCCCATCTTTTCTGCCCTGGCCCCCAAATGCTAACATCCAGCATGATGGCAAATAGACAAAGGGATAGGTCTTGAGCAGTAAGCCACACAAGCCACCAGGTAATGTCCACCCAAAGCTGACTCACTTCCTGCTTCCTTGCCAACCTCTCATCCTTCAGCTGAAGACGATGACATGAATGAGGACACCGTTGAGAGGATTGTTCGCTGCATCATCCAAAATGAAGGTGGGTGTAGACTGGCTGTTTGCTCTCCCGGCCCCTGCCCCCTGCTCAACTTTCTCTTGCCCTGACCTCCACCTCCACTGACTCCCTCTTTTCCTTCTCCCCTCAGCCAATGCTGAGGCCTTGAAGGAGATGCTGGGGGACAGTGAAGGAGAAGGGACAGTGCAGCTGTCCAGGTGAGCTGGAAACAAGGGCCAGCATGACTTAGCTTGCCTTGGAGAGTACCCTCTCCTCCAGCACAATCCTTTCCCAATGTCCTCGCATGTCTGGGGGGCCAGGGGGAGGCAAAGCTGGCTAGCCTATAAGAAGAAAGAAGTTTTCTATATATCTGAGTCCTTCAAACCATACTTCCCATCTGGATATCATCAAGCCTGACATTTATCCCTTGTGCCATTCCTTTGGGTTAAACATTGCCCTCTTTTTAGCAAACAACCCTGGGAAAGAGAACACATGATGACTAAAATCTGAATATTGTGTTTATTAGATAAATACAAGAGTGCTGGGGCCTGGGGAAAGTGCGGCATCTGGGGATTTAAGAAGCTGAAAGAACAGACACAAATGGAAAAGGAAAGGAAATGGTAATGTCACTTGTGCTCCCTTCTTCCCTATCGTCCAGCGTGGATGCCACCTCCAGCCTGCAAGATGGAGCCCCTTCCCATCATCACACAGTGCATCTGGGCTCTGCAGCCCCTTGTATCCACTGCAGCCGCAACAAGAGGCCCCCACTTGTTCGTCAGGGACGCTCCAAGGAAGGAAAGAGCCGCCCCCGGCCTGGAGAGACCACCGTGTTCTCTGTGGGCAGGTGGGGACAGAAAGCCCCAGAGAAAGGGAGTTTGAGGTGGGAGCCCCAGTGACCAGGCACCTGACTCCAAAGGTGGGCCCCAGCTCTGTTCTCCTAGACTGTGAGCTACAGCAGAAGTCAGGCTGTACATATGCCCCATAATCTGGAGAAGTCTCCCCCCTCCCCCCAGGCCAGAGGGAAGTGACCATGAAACCCAGGATGTCCCTGGTTGGGGGGAAGCCTAGCAGTCTCTGAGTTCTGGTCTTAAGCCCCAGTGTTCCCTCCCTTCCCAGGTTCCGGGTGACACACATTGAGAAGCGCTATGGGCTACATGAGCATCGTGATGGCTCTCCCACGGACAGGAACTGGGGGTCTGGTGGAGGGCAGGACACAGGGGGTAGTCAGGGGTCTGGGGGAGGGCAGCCCAGGGCAGGGACACCTGCCATTGAGAGTGTGCCCCCTGAAAGGCCACAGCCCCCAGGCCTCGCCAGTCCCCCAGCGCAGAATGGAGGACTCAGGGATGGCAGCCTAGTCCCTTGTGCACTTGAGGGGAACGCTAGAACCTTCACAGAGCCCATGTCTGGGGCTGGAGAGAGGGGCCCAAGCCCAGGACTGGCCAGTCGAGAGGCAATTGGACAGTCAAGCAAACTGGACACCTCAGATCACCAGGTATGAAGGCATGGGCTTGGCTATGGTGGGCTCAGCTCTTATTGCCTCCTACCCTGGGGGCAGGGGGAGGTAGCACTGATTGGACCCACATCCTCTTCTTCCATTGTTGACCACTTCTCTCTCACAGGTGTCCCCACCACGGGGAGCAGGGGGTGTGTGAGGTAAGTCTGCCTGGGCCCCAAATCAGATAATCTCATCTTCCCACCCCCTACTTACACCACCTAAGCCCATTAGCTCACTGTACTCCCCAGGATGGACTTTGCTGCAAATTCCTTGGTTTAAGTGGTGGGGAGTGGGCATGTGCTCCAGCAGACAGGGAAGGTCCTACAGCCCCCCGGGGGAAAGCTGAGACACATCCTGAATAGAAAGCAACATTGTTACCCTTCCTCTCCTCCAAGCCTCCTTCTTCATTGTGATGATGGACTACCAGCTGGCAGGGCCAGGGGGTGGGCGGGCATGAAGGCCCTCCTCTCCACTGGACAGCACTGCCCCCACCTGAGGAACCAGCTCTACTTCCATCTGGAGTTGCATGGCCTCAGGCTGGGGGACCTCGGGAGAAGTCTCAATCCCATCCCTCAGTCTCTTTCACTTCCCCTGCCTGCCAACAGGCCGCCTGACCCCTTCCCCATTATCTCGCTCCATTTGCTAGAGCGTGGCAGCTGGGAGCAGGCCCCTGCCCTTGGTGGGCCCCTAAAGCAATAGCACCTTAGGCCCCCTGCCCTCTTGGCAAAAGAGGTCCAGGCCCTGGCTTGGGCTTAGTGCCCTTTATTCACTGTCAATAAATCCGCTCAGACCATTACAGCTGTGTTGCATACTGGCTCCAGCTCCTTTTGACAGGCCTGCTCCTGTCCCAGCCCCCAACCCCAGTGGCCATGGGTCACAGACCCAGTGGACTGCGTCACAGAGTCAGGGTGGAGACACAGATGGGCTGGAGCCACTCAAGACTTTGGAAGATGGGTTCCAGCCCCAGAGATTTCACAATCCATTTTACCACCCTAGAGATGGCGTGGTGGCAGAAGAAAGAGGGATAGTTCCAGCCCTAGAGATAGCAGAAGTATGATGGGGGGAAAGGAGTGAGTTCCAGCTCCGGAAATGGGGAGAGGGAAAGTTTCTACCCCTGGAGGTAGGAGTGGAAATGGGGGAAACTCCAGCTTTTGGCTATGTTATTACTCCAGATCATAGAGGGGTTGTCTCTGACATCTTGGGTATAGGGACAGCAGCATCACTGGGGGACAGCAATCCCCCTGGCTTCAGGTGAGAGAATCTGGGTGGCCAGGATCTGGGGCTTTAGCTGGTGGGGGAGGTGGTGGACGCATCTGTAGAGAACACAGAATCAGAGCTCCAGAACCCTCCCTTGGGGACATCCCTGTCCATTCCCTCAGCCCCGCAGACAAAACAGGACACGTTGGAATGACACAATCTCCTCCAAGGGAGGGACCCGTACCGGCCTGAGTCGAGGTATCATCATGTCCAGGGGTCCAGGGCAGTCCAGATCTTGGTCTGCAAACAAGAGCCACAAGTCAGTCTTCAGGCTTTGTTTTGTTCATCGCTGCATCTCCAGCACTTAGAACAGTGGAACTCTGTAAATATTTGATGAATTAACGAAGAGTCCCTAGTCTTAGAGCCACAAGATCCATTGATCTATCCATCCTCAGCACTTACTTGGCACCTGCCAAGAGGGGGAGATGGGATTCACAGCACCCCCATTCCCAGTGGCTGTCAGGAACCCAGTACTGAAAAACCAACAAACACAATGAATGATTGTGCTAAATCATTCAAAGTGAACTATAGGGGCTAGAGCAGGGAATACAGAAAATGGTCACAGGGACCTCTGGAATCAGGGAGGGAGGGAGGCTCCGTGAAGAAAGTAGAAGTACGAGAAGGTTTTAGAAAAGGTGGGCATTCCAAGAAGGAAAATGATGACACAAACCAAAGTGTTTACAGGATTCAAGAACATTAAAGGCAGAGGATGCGTAGTGGGAAAAGCTGGCTAATTTGTAAAATAACCTTCATGAGGAAACAGCTACTGCAGGCATGTATACTATGTGCCAGGCACAATGCTAGGCCCATCTTTTTTTTTTTTTAAGATTTTATTTATTTATTTGACAAAGAGATAGCTAGAGAGGGAACACAAGCAGAGGGAGTGGGAGAGGGAGAAGCAGGCTCAGCAGGTAGCCTGATGCGGGGCTTGATCCCAGAACCCTGGCATCATGACCTGAGCAGAAGGCTTAACGACTGAGCCACCCAGGCACCCCTAGGCCCATCTTCCTAACCCTCACAACAACTCAGTGAAATAGGGACCTTTCTCCTCACCCTGTAAAGGCCCAGGCAGGTTCAATATCCCGCCCCAAACCACACATTGGGAAGTCATATGCAAAGTCTCAACGATCACTTGCCTCCCCTCCAAAGCCCAAGCTCTTCTCACCATCCTGCTTCTGTGAGCCTGATGGAGGAGGTTCCTGAGGGCAGGCAGAGAAGCCAAGGGCAACCTTTCTCCTCCTGCCTGTCTCTTTCCCTCCCAGGGCCCCCAGTGCCCTCTACTCACCCACAGGCAACGCAGGTGCAGGGGCTCCCTCCAAGGCAGAGGTGGGCACAGGAGGTGAGAAGCTAGGAGGAGAAGGGGATGGCAGCATCTAGGAACGAGGGGCACACGGGGTTATTCCTGGCACACAGGAAGGTTTCATCACCTTTTCCTCTCATCTCATCTTCAATTCCTGTCCCATCCTCCTTGATTTGGACAGCAGCCAGATGCTTCTATACACGTGGGGGCTTTAGCTGATACACACTTCCATAGCCAATAGGTACTATGCCCCAGACATTCTGTTAGCACTTCACATATGCTCACTAATTAATTCCTTACACCATCCCATGAAGTAGGGAGTTTTGTTTTATAATTTCTTGTAGAGATGAGACTCAGGTTAAGCCATCTATTGAAAAGCATGGAGCCTGTTAGTGGTAGAGTCCCAACTAGAACCCAGCTCTCCTGACTCCCTCTCCTAGGCTCTTCCTGCTGTAAGAGTAGGTACCATATATTAAACAACCTCCTCTGGGTCACTGTGCTAAGGGCTTTACCTCCATATCTCTAGACACGAGGGTTGGGCTGCTGAAGTAGGTATTATTACCCCAGTTTTCCCAGATGACAAGTAAGCACCAAGCTTATATCACTGCCCAAGGCAATGCAGTATGAATCTAAACTCAGATCTAGCACTAAAGTAGGACCACCAAACTCTTAGGTAAAACTGCCTAAGTTTCCCTCGTCTCTGCCCAGCCAAAAGAGATTGGGAGGTCCAAGCCAATGTAGGAAGTAAATCGGGAGAAGGAAGGGGCATTAAGATGAATATGGGGCCTCATTGGAGTAGGAGGCTCAACTCAGAGAAGCCTGGGGACCCAGGGAGAAGGAAGCCTCACCTGTTCAGGGTCTGAGAGTTCAGGGGGATCTGGAGGACCAAGCAGCTCCTCCACTAACAGGGAGGGGAAAACCCCCACATGGCCCCCGAATTCTCCTCTCCAGAAGCCATCATCCACTCCATCCTGGGTCCGGGGCAGCAGGCGGATAAGCGCCCCCTCTGGAAAGCTCAGCTCTTCCGCACTCTGTCCTGTGTAGCTGTATAGGGCACGGGCCAGGAAGGCTGCAGAAGCCAGGAGAGGTGGTGAGGGAAGTTGATGGGGAGTAGTTCCCTGGGCCATGACACCTCAGGGCCACCACGACTCAAGGTCCCCTGACCCAGAATTTCCCATTCTTACCTGTGGGCTCTACCCCTGAGGGATTGTCACTGTCGTGGCCACTCTCAGGGAAGGAGAGGTCCGGGAAGTTGAGATATCGCTCAGGGACAAAGCCTACCTCGCCGTGCTGGTTTCGAGCCTATTCACGCAGCAATGTGAACAGAGAGCAGACTTGACTCAGCAGCCCATGACCCTAGCCCTCCTCCTCAGACTTCTAGCTTTGTCTAGCTGGGTCCTTGCAAGCCACAGAGAAGTTCTTCCCACTGCCAAGGTCAGAACCTACAGTCCATACCCACCTTGACCCATTCATCAGCATCTCCCTCTTCTATGACCTCCAGCCACTCGCCCTCTGTGATGGTCAGCTCATCCTCATGACCTGCCTGGGCCCCACAAGGAAGAATTCAGGACATGGCTGTCTCCCATCTCCACTTCTCTGAGGTCCCCACACCCGTGCCCACCTGATACCTGATAGCTGAACACCACATGTGCTGGGCAGGGGAGGGGCCTGGTGGCCAAGGCTACAGGGGCAGGTTCCTCAAAGAGCTCCCCTGTCTCCTCACATTCCTCAAAGTCAGAGAGCTCAGCATCCTCAGCCTGGGGAACAGAGAACAGACATCACTGGGGGGCCCACTCTCAAGTACCCATTTTAATCCCCACTCCTCCATTCTACCCTTAAAGAACACCGATAGATCAATATCCAAGATAATACCACCCATCTGTCCACCATGTATCACAAGCAAAATCACCACAGAGCAGGGTAACACCAACAACAATCGCAGAATTCCAGTACTGAGTGCCTACCATGGGCCAGGAACGACACTTAACATCTTATGTATAGCATCTCATCGAAACTTCACAATAACCCGCTGATATTTTGCATAACTATATCATCTCGTTTTACCTACTTTTTCAATTTTAAAAAGATTTTATTTAATGGAGAGCAAAGGTACACACATGCACGTGCACATGCACTGGGGGGCAGGGCAAGGGGAGAAGGAGAGAGGCAAGCCGACTCCATACTGAGCATGAAGCCTGATGCAGGGCTCAATCTCACAACCCTAAGATCATGACCTGAGCCGAAATCAAGACTCAGACCCTTAACTGACTGAGCCACCTACTTCATTTTACTTATAAGAAAACTGAGCCTCAGAAATGTTAAGTCAATTTCCAAGACCACACAGCTAGTAGTAAGTGGAGTGGCTGGCGCATAAACCACTTAGAGTCCATACTCAGAACCTTAGTTCATAATTGCCATCCTATAGTCACGATAAAAGCTCACTGAGAGCACTCTGTGCTACGAAATATGCAAAAAAGTATACGTACTTCATTCCAGCCTCATAACAACCTCTTTGACTTCAGTACCATTGGGATGCCCATTTTATAGGGTCTGCCCTCCTCTGGGGAGATCTACCCTTTACCCTCCCGGGTGTAGAGGGGTAAGGAGCAAAGGGTACTCACCGTGGGAGAGAGGTCCCTCTGGGACAGCCGGGCCTCACTGAGCCGTCGCTCCTGCTCTACCTCATCCTGCGCCTGGGTCATGGCTGGCTTCAGCCAGCGCTGCACATCCAGGCCAGCTCCTTGGAGCAGGGCCAGCCGGGCAGCCCCCTTCACCTGGCTCACCTGGCATGGGGAAGAGAGATCAACCAAGGTCATGGATGGGCCTGCCTTTGGGCGGTGAGGGGAGCCACCCCAAACATGTCCACCTTCTACCTCCCACCTCCCTGCTCCCCACGATGTAGCTAGACAGCAGGAGGGTGTTGTGTGAGCAGGTGGGGTCTCAGGGGTCCCAGGAACAGGGCTATGGCTCACCTGTGCCCGCCGGATGCTCTCCCTCACTTCCTGCAGCCGCTGTTCTAGACCTGGCGCCTCCCGCCCTGGGGCCTGCTGTCGCCTCTGCTCCAGCCGCTGCAGCACCTGGTTGGAAAGGCAGAGAACAGGAGTGGGTGGAAACACTATGCAGACAACTTACTATGGACTGGCACTTTGCTACTTGCTTTGCATGCATTATGTCATTTAATCATCCTCATGCAGTGGGGACTGTTATTAGCCCCACTTCACAGTAAGGAAACTGAAGTCCAGAGAGGTTAAGTCACTCCCTTACTCAGGGTTACATAATGAGAAAACAAGCGAGCAGGATTCAAACCCAGGTGGGTCTAGCTCTGAAAGCTGGGCTCTTAACCACTGTGCCACACTATTGCGCTAAAATCCCTTTCCTTCCTCTCCTGCATGCAGCCCTATGACATCCCTCACTGACTCCAGAGTCCTCGTCTCTCAGCGCTTCCCACCCACCCACAACACCTGCACCCCCCACCTCACCCGATGCCCATGGTTCTGGATCTTGTAGTCTCGGGCAGCTCGGCTAGTCCAGCGTTGAACCTCTTTCTCCAGGCTACGGTCCCCCGCCATGCCTCCTGCATCCCCCTCCAGCTCCAGGGTGCAAACCTATTTGAAGAGTGTACACAGATGCTGAGAGGAGGACCTGATGTTGCTCCTTCTCTACGGTCCCTTCTTGTTTCCTTCTCCCTGTCCTAACCTTCTCCAGCCACAGGGACAAAGAGGTGAGGGCACAGGTGTGCATTCCTGTGGACAGAGACACACAGAGAGTCCCCAAAATGGGACAGAGGAAGAAGGAAGAGGAACTAGAGTTCTGAAACCCCTTCTCCACAGTTTAACAGTCACTAATCAGGACAGGGGTGATGAGGGAGTAGGCCTAAACCACAGTCCCCTTTACAGGTGGTTGGCTTCCAATGAAGAGAGAAGTCTCACCTGATCAGTCCCTGCAGGCTGAAACTCCTGAGGTGGTGTGGGGGAAAATACTCCAGGTTCCTGAAGAAAGAGCTTCAGATCCTCCTCCCAGCTTACCTGGGGGTTTGAAAAGGTCAAACTAGTCACTCACAGGTTACCCCTCCAAGCCTATCCCCAGCCCCTCTCGGAAAAAGAAGGACAGGTGAAAATCAAAGGGGCAGATACACAGTGGGTGGTCTGTACTGAAGAGGAGGGTGAAGGGGATCCCTGAGGAGCTCGTATACGGCATGGCCCTCACCTGGGAGGTTGCCTGCCCTCCACGGCGGGCATGCTCCAGGGCCATCTCTGCAGCTTCCAGCTCAGTGCGGCTTAGCAAGGTCAAGGGGTCCCTCAAGTGTTCCAACAGCTCGCTGACCAGGGCCTGGAGAGAACCCCAAGATCGTGACCCCACCCTTCCCCCAGCATCTACTGCAAAGCAAGCTCTCTGCCCAGGTTCAGATGGGTGATGGGCATGAGGAATTGGAAAGAGGGAAGAAATGAGACATTTTACTGCTTCTAATAATAGGCCCTCATGTATGCATAGACCTTAACAGTCTAAAAAGCATTTTCATATCCATTCTCTCACCTGAGCCCCATTAGTTTTATAAAGTAGGCAGAACAAAAATTGTCCCTAATGAGGCAACTAGGTGTTCAGAGGGGCTAAGTGTTCTGCAAAATGTCATGTAGCCAGCTAGAAGACAAACCCAAACCAGAACTAAAGGATGTAACTTACAGCCACTCAAAGCAGGCTGGGACCTTAGCACCACCTAGCCTGAAGATGGTAGGAAGCAAGGAGAGGATCTCCCATACAACACCCCCTCACCCTCCGTGCCAAGAGGCAGGACTATCTGGGTTGGGACTGGCCTTGAGCAGGGCTGGCAACTCCTCCTGGTAGTAGTGGTCAAGGTGGGCATTGGTGGCCACCAAGTTGAGCAGGTACTCATTGCGGGCTGCTCTCAGCTGCTGGGAGTACTGGGCTGATTGGGCAGAGAGCTAGGAGGAGAAAACAGGTGTCAACAGGAAGCCCTGGACCCGTGGGGTCCTTCCAAGGCCAACCCAGATCCAGGATGGATTCTCATATTATTGAGTGCTTACTATGCACCTGGTGCTACACTAAACATATTGCACACTCAACAACTCCAGCTTGAAATGCTCTAGTGGCATCTATGTCCATTTAAAATAAAATCCCACTGCTCCTTACTGTGGCTTGCCAGGTGCAACAAGATCAGGACCCTGCAATCTCTCTGACCTGTTTTCACAGTGCCTGTCCCCCTGCTCAGAGTGCTCCAGCCACACTGACCTTCTTTCTGTTTCTTGAAGCCCACAAAGCTATTCCCACCTCAGAGCCTCTGCACTCACCGTTTCCTCTCCCTGGAATGTTCTTCCCCTAGATCTTTGCATGGCTGGCTGCTTCTTGCCATTCAGGCCATGTGTTCAGATAGCTTTTCTCTCTAAATTACACCCTGTTACCCTTTACCATAGCACCTTGTTTTGTTTTCACTTAATCTGATTATTTGTTTCTTTACTTACTATCTATCTGCCCCTCACCAGACTCTGAAGGCACAGAGTCCTCAATAAATGCATGGTAAAGGAATAAAAAAGAAATGTACTATTTCCACATTACAGATGAAGAACATGAAACTCCGAGAGATCAAGTTAACCAGGGTCACACATTGAGGATGTAGGGAAGCCTGGATTCATCTCAGTCTCTCAGATTTATGCCCTTGGGTTCCAAACCACTAGACTACTCTGACCACCTCTTTCCCACCTCCACTCATGTCCATGTCCCCCCAAACCTTGGTGCTGAGTTTCTGGAGACTGGTCCGAGTGTGGAAGAGCCCGTGGTCACTTCGGTTCAGTCTGTGCAGGCAAGGGAGAGGAGTCAAGGTTAGGCTCAGCTGTGGTGCCTTGGCTCCCGTCTCCCAGTCAGGCTTCCCAACTCCCCATGACCCCACCTAGCCTGGACATCAGCCGCCTTCTCCTGTGCCAAGGCCCACACACGTTCCCGCTGCCCATACAGCTTCCGACTTCGGCTCAGCTCCCGGACAGACTGCAGCACCTCTGCTTGCGCTCTCTGGAGGTTCTCTGCTCCCTAAGGGCGTGTACACACAGAGTCCTGACCCAGACCACTTTCTACCCCAAGCCAGCTCTTCCTTCATCCCATCCACTAAGCCATACCTTCCTGAGCACCTGCTCCTTGGCACTCCGCCCCGTGCCCCCTGCCAGGTCACGGTATCGGTCAGACGCCTGGAGCCGGGCTTGGCCCCCAGCCACGGTGGCATCCAGCAGGCAGCGCCAGGCACCAAACACCATCCTGCCTCTCCCCAGAGAAGGTCTGTGTTGAGGAGGAGAGCACTCCAAAGCTTCATGAGACACTCCTCCCCACCACCAAACCCAACACCATAGGAGACACAGTGCTTTCCCTTCCCCCTTGTCTGGGAGCCTATCAATCGATCAGCGCATTAGCTCAGCCACAAGGATCACTCATGCCCTCCGCCTGCACCCACAGTGTCCTTGCTGGGTCAGCTCCTCTCGGGCTGCTGTGTCAGCTCAACCTGCAGCTCACATGCCCTCTCCCCTCACTGGCCCTTTATTCCCATAGGTTCCTGGGGTTGGGCTCCTCACCCCTTCTAGGTGCCCTGAACTACCCCCATCCATGGGACGCACCTGCTGTCCATCTCCCCACTCCGGTGCCCTTCTCTCTTCAGGAATGGCCCTGCCAGTTTCTGAAGTGCCTGGTGGGAAAGTCATCACAGACTCAGTTACCTTTCAAAGACTCTCAACAACTGGGAGAACATGAAATCCAGGTATAATAAACGCTATTCATCAGACGCATATTATGTGCCACTCACTCTGCTGAGTGATTTATCTATTTCATCCTTACAACAATCCTATATAAAGTTACAATTATTATTCCATTCTACAGAGAAAGAAATTGAGGCCAAGAAAGGCTAAGCACCTTGTCCAAGGTCACACAGCCAACAAGTAGCATGAGAGATCTGACACCAGTCTGCCTAACTCAAGGCCGTTGCTGTGGGCCAGAAGAGGAGTATGTGCAGAAAAACAATGCCATGTGCAAAGGAGGCCACAACAAAAGAGAAAGTCCAGGAAAAGGAGTCCCATACCTGTCCATATTCTCGTTCAATGGCTGCCCTCTGCTTGCTGTAGGACCTAGGAAGATTAAAGGGGCAGGATGGTGTCACTGTTTGGTCCTGTTCTCCCACCCTCAATCCTCTCCTCAGCCTGGGCAGGAAGAAGAGGGGAGCCAGACCTAAAGTGTGAGTACATCAGGAAGGAATGAGACTGGAGAGAGAGTCCTTGAGATCACCTCAGGCAGCGGCAACCCAGAACAACCTCGCCTCATTGTTCAGAGCCTCAGCAGGATCCTCCCTACCTCTGGAGAACCATCTTTGGACTTGGAGGTGAGGACGAATGGAGGCCTGGATACATTCCAGCCTTCCAACAGGTCTGGAAGAGGGAGGGGAGATTCTGCCCCAAGCTTGATTGTGGGGTGGAGGGAGGGGTGTGGAGTCAATGGGTTTGAGAGAGGTCCTTGTGTGTTTCTGTGTGTTGGGTTAGGAGGAAGGATAAGCCCCACCGGTATCTGGAGAGCCAGGCCGACAGTGAGGGCCGGGAATGGGCAGGTTGGAGAACCCTTCACCCCCTGCTTTTCCCCTCCCCAGGCCAGCTCTGACCCAGGTCTGTTCGAGGAGAAGAAGGGCGCGCAACGGCAAAGGTCGGGGTATGGTGGAAGGAATCAGAAGCTACCTGATGTCCTCCAGCAGATCCGCCTCCCTCTGCTGCCGGGTCTGAAGGATGCTCAGCTGCTCCAAGAAGCGAAGCTTCACCTCCTGGGCCGGCTTCACCTGCGGCGGTAACAAGAGGTTGAAGACCCCTGGCGCCGGGACCTGAAAAACACTCCGCGCAGGGAGCGGTGAGGGGGCGGGACCGGGGAGGGACTGGGGTGTTTCCTGGCTTACTTCAGGGTTAGGCCCCGAACCCTTACAACTCCTCGTCCCCCACTGCGGGTCCGGTGACCCCCTCAACTCCCACCATTCCCCCAGCCCACCAGGAGTCCCCATTCTCAGGCCAAGCTCACTTTTCGGGGCGGCGGCTGCATCTCCGCTCCGGCCAAGGGAAGCGACTCGACTCCGGAACTCGAGGAAGCCCCGCCCACGCCAAAGCCCCGCCCCGGACCTGGCCCAGCTCCGCCCCCGTCCCGCCCACGCCTGGTCCGGCTACGCGCACGGCAGCGAAGCGCGAAGGTGCCGCGGAGAAACCAAAGAAACTTCTGTTGGTGCTGCGGCAGCACGGGAAAGGGTCAGGACCGCCGAGTGGACGCGGCGTCCGCTGCGCGGTAGGGGAACCCCAAGTTTCTGAGTCAAGACGCCTGGGTTCTATTTCTAGTGGAGCCACTGACTCAGCCCGTAATTACTACGAATCACTCATTTACATATGCAGATCTCCGGTCCTCCTGTCCTCCCTCGGGCGCGAAGGGTGACGCCTGAAGAGAAGGAACTCAGTTTGTGACCAATTTGTCATTGGATGCGTGAGCAAAGATGCTTCTGACAAGGGAAACAGGGCTGCTCTCTGACCTTTCCCAAATTCCCACAGAACTGGAAAAGCCAGTGAGTGGTGATGAGAAGATTGCCCGGAGCCAGGAGGAAGCCAGTCCCAGAGGAAGAAAGGTATGTAAGGGGCCAATGGAAACTATATGATACCAGTGAATGGATGTAATTGGGAAGATGGGTGTAAGGCCTGGCGCCCCAGGAAGCCCTGTCACCATTAGGGTCTGCCTTTCCGGCTCTGTGCCCCAGGTTCTACCAGCGCAATCCCTACTTTCTGAGGATCCCCACACCCTTTCTTCATTCCCCTCACCTATCCTTGGCCCACACCCCGACTTGGAAAAGCAGTTATCTGTGGCCCCAAACCCCAGATTCACATTTCCAACAGCCCATTGACACCTCCAACTTGTAGATCTAACAATTACCTCAAATTTTTAAATCCGCTCTTTCTACCTGATCCTTCTCCAGTTATCTTCCCCAGACAAAACACTAAATGGTACCTCTCTTCATTTGGTTAGGAAAGTCTGAAACCCAGAGTCATTGTGCCATTTCTCCTATCCCTCATTCCTTCCATCAGCAAGTCCTGTAGGTTCTATTTCTGAAAGATCTCTTATTAATCACCTTTCTTCAATTTCCAAAACCACCAACCTAGCCCAAGCCCCAGTATCAGTCGCCTGTCTAATATCTGGTCTCTCATTCCCCCCCCCCACCTCAATAACCCACTGCTCACAAAACAGCCAGAGTGATTGATTTTTTTTTAAAGGAAATAAGATCTCATCACTCTCTCCCTTCAAACTACTCAACTGCTTCAGAATAAAATCCAAACACCCTAGCATGGCCTATAAGGCTGCGCATTATTGGGCCCCTGCCGGTCTTTCCCCCTTTAGCCCACACTCTTCTCTGTCTCCCCACTCACTGTGCTTCAGCCACTCCAGCCTCCTTTCTGTTTCCCCAACAGGCCAAGCCTCTTCCCACTGCAGAGCCTTCATGCCTGACACTTTCCCTCTTCTTCTGGAGTGCTCCTTCTCTCAGTACTTCACATGTCTGGCTTCTTTAACTCTTCACAGCAGCCTTCCCCATCTTCCCAGCCTAAAGGCCACCACCACAGGCACATTGCTTTGGTTTGATTTCTTCACAACACTGCATTAATTTGTGTATTTTCTGTTCCCCTGCTAGAGTGGGAGCTCCATAAAAGCAAGACCCATCTTTTTTTTTTTTTTTTTTTAAGATTTTATTTGTTTGGGGAGCCTGGGTGGTTCAGTCAGACAAGATCTGCCTTCAGTTCAGGGCATGATCCCAGGGTCCTGGGATCGAACCCCACATCAGGCTCGCTACTCAGCGGGAAGGCTGCTTCTCCCTCTCCCTCTGACTTTTCCCTCTGCTTGTTCTCTGTCTCAAATAAATAAAATCTTAAAAAAATATTTTTTATTTGACACAGAGAGAGAGAGAGAGAGCATGTGAGCGCACAAGCAGGGGGAGCAGCAGAGAGAGAGGGAGAAGCAGGCTCCACAGGGAGCCCAATGCAGGGCTGCAGGGCTCAATCCCAGGACCCTGGGATTATGACCTGAGCCAAACGCTTAACCAACTGAGCCACCCAGACAAACTTTACCCTGAAGACCTGACACCTAATTAGGTGCTCAATACATATTTGTTGAATGAATGAATGAAATAAACAATAATAGCTTTCTGGTTCCAAGATTTATTAACAGTGACACATCCTTTTTGGCTCCTCTTCACCCCAGCTCCCAACCCCAATCAACCTCCACCCTCTAGGTCTTCAGCATAGTCCCCAAATGTAGGAATTGGGGTTAGATAGACTTGGAGATCATTCAGCTTTCTGGCTTCCAAATCCTTTTTTCCTTAGTGCAGTAAAAACTATTCCTTTCAAACCCCAAACCTCTTACAGAACTCCTGCATATCATATATATAAAGCAGGAGTTCCCTCAACTTGTTGAGGGAAGTTATGTGGGGCTTACAGCTCTAAGAAACAGTTGGATGTTCCCTGGCTCCTTATTTCAGTGACTTCATGGTACATATAAGTGAGTGAAGGTTCAGTGAGGGACCATAGTCTGACCCTCTCTAGGCAGGAGAGTCCAGAGCCCTTAATCCTGTGCTCTTTCCATAGCACCACACTGGCTTCTGGAGCCTTTCCAGCCAGAGCAGAGGAGGCTCCCGGCAGTGTCTGCCATGGTGAGAACTTGGGTCTTCTGGTTACCCTCCCCTTCAGACTACTCGTCTGAGGGTCATGTGAGGGGCTGGCTGGAGGGTGAACTGGAAGGTTGGGTGGGAAAGCCAGGTGTTTGTGTCAGAAGGCCATTGGAGTTTGGGGACTGGGGGCTGGAGGGCTGCGGGGGGCTGCCCAGGCCTATGGCAGTCTCTCCTTTCCTCAGGATGAGGCTGCTCAGCTCCTGGAGCAGCTGCTCCTCTAGGGACCCATGTGCCTGGGGGCTGCTCTTTGAAGGGGGTCCGGGAGGGGGCTCAGGTGGCCTCTGCTCTGGGTCCAGGCCACCTGCCTTGGGGAAAGGGGGTTTGTCAAAGGACCTCTGGCTGATGAGAGGGGTCTCTGGGTTGGCTGTCTTTTCTCTCATCGTGGAGAAGGAGGTAGAGGTGTCCTTGGTCAGCTCAGGAAAGGCCCCCACTTCTTCATACACCGGCTCCTCATAGACAGGCTCCTCCAGTTCCTCCTGCTCCTCCACAGACCCCTGGGATGACTTCATTGGCTGGATGGGAATGGGGCAGCATGATGCAGGCACAGAGTTAGAGTTCCTGGGTTAGTAACTGTTAACATTTATTGAGCCCTTCCTCTGGGCCAGATGCAGTAAAATGCTTCTCATGTGTGCTATCAAACCAACTCTGTACAACGGGTTACACTGCAGGTGAGTGACGCGAGGTACAGAGGGGTGAAGTAAGTTGCCCAAGATCACACAGTGAGTAAATGGAAGAACTGAGGCTTCAGGCCCGGTCTACCTGGCTCCAAGATGTGTTCACTTAACCACTTTCCTTCTGTTTCTCAGAGCCTGTGACCACTTTCCCTTTTCCTTATCATATCCTCCCAGGCCTCATTTTCCTCATTCCTTCTGGTCCCTCACAATACTCTCTCTCTCTGTCTCATGCACACACACACACACACACGTGCACAAACACACACAGATGGCCCTGTATCAAACAAATACAGAGGGCACATGGATTCAGGCAGCACAGAGGAACACGGGGCCGAGGGGCACAAAGCTGAGACAGGTACAGTACTCACAAAGAACATGGACAGGGTCCTCCGGTTGTGAAGTCGCCTCTGGGCACAGGTGGGATGGGGATGAGGGGAGGGAGAGACACAGAGACACAGTGAGGTCTGGCAACAGAAGGCAAGGGTGGGGTGTGGGGACACAGAGAAGGCAGAGGCGGGCAACAGGCAGGCAGGCACACCACTCCCACCTGCAGGGCAGCAAGGACACAGGCAGGATTCAGGAGGGCACAGCAGCAGGCCAGGGGGACCTCACCAGGGTCTGGTTGGCAGAGAGAAGGGTGGCCCCACTGTCATCTCCTCTGATGGGCAGCAAAGGCATGGTGCCAAACTTCTGACGGGCAAGGTCAGAGGAGGAATGGCGTCGTAAGACCACTGGCTGCTGGTCATCGTGCTGCAGGGAGAGTAAGGAGTTGGCACAGTGGGCATGGGACTACAGCTAGGACCTCTGACCTTACCCTCAGCTTTTATCGTCCCCTCACCTGGGCTTTGAGGATGCTGGTGGTCCAGTCCCACATCTCATCCTCATTAGTGCAGGACAGGTATCTGGGGATGGTCAGAGGGGAATTAGCTGGAGAGGAGGGGTTGTAGCTATAGCAATGGAGAATAGAAAAAGTAGAGAGGAAGAGGACATGGTGCAGGGCTGGGCCAGGGGAGAAGCCAGGCCGAGAGGTACTCACAGCTGCATCTTCTCCAGTATCAGCGTGAAGCCCCACCTAGGAGCCAAAGGACAACAGAGATGGGCAATTAGAAAGGCTGGAAGGGTGCCTGGGTGGCTCAGTGGTTAAGCCGCTGCCTTCGGCTCAGGTCATGATCTCAGGGTCCTGGGATCGAGTCCCGCATCGGGCTCTCTGCTCAGCGGGGAGCCTGCTTCTCTCTCTCTCTCTCTCTCTCTCTGCCTACCTCTCTGCCTACTTGTGATCTCTCTCTGTCAAATAAATAAATAAAATCTTTAAAAAAAAATACTTAAAAAAAGAAAGGCCGGAAGAGGGGGGCACCTGGGCGGCTCAGTGGGCTAAAGCCTCTGCCTTCAGCTCAGGTCATGATCCCAGGGTCCTGGGATCGAGCCCTGCATCGGGCTCTCTGTTTGGCAGGGAGCCTGCCTCCCCCTTTGCCTCTCTGCCTACTTGTGATTTCTGTCTGTCAAATAAATAAAATCTTAAAAAAAAAAAAAAAAAGAAAGAAAGAAAGAAAAAGAAATGCCAGAAGGGTGATGGCAGCAAGGTCCTAGAAATGTGGGCTGGGGAAGAAAACTCACGGTGTTGGAGGCTTAAACTTCTTTCGGATTCCCAGGTAGACTTTGGAACCTTCTAAGGGCCACTCTCGTTCTGGTTTAGAGCTCTGAAAACAAGAAGGCAGTCAGTGAGGTCAAGAGGTGAGAGAAAGATCACAGTCAATCAGGTCAAGAAGTCATGGAAGCACTGGGGTTATGTGCTCACAGGATCACAGAGGTCAAAGAACCAGGGCAGCACTGAGACGGATAAGCACACAGACTATGGAGTGAGAAGGTTGATGAAGGCATAGCTGCTCTTCAGGAGCTTCCAGCATCCATCCCCACTCCCCCCAGCACCTCACCTTCTTTTCCTTGAGCAGCAGCAAGCAGCGGCCACGCAGTAGAAAGAACCTCTCCTGGAAGCGGTTGCCCAGTAAGCGGGGTGGCTCCTCCCGACACCGCAACAGACCCACCCTCGGGCTCTCGCGCCGGATACCTGGGCACAAACAGATGATACTCGTAGGAGGGTCCTGGGGGAGAGGCCTGGGGGTGCTGGGCTGAAGGAGGACGTTCACCTGTGAAGAGGCAGCCAGCCTGGGCCAGGGAGACTTTTCTCAAGAGCAAGGAGGCCGAGCAGGGCTCTGGCAGCTGGCACCATTGAAGGGCCTGCTCTAGGACCCTCTCCTTGGGGTGAAGTGGCCGCTCTGAGGAGTAAAGTAGGAGCAGGTATCAACCAGAATATCCATCCATGCCCTGGACCTCCAGCTCCTTTCCACCAGTCACTTTCGTGTGTCCATTCCACAGCCCAGCCACAGGTATTTATTTAAGAGCCAACTCTCTGCCAGGCATTGCTGTCCCTAGGGATGTGATGGTTAGCATGGAACCCATGGCCTACCTTCACAAAACCCACGGCAAAGTGAGTGAGCAGACAGTATATAGGTAAGTAGACCAAAAAATTGCAAATAATTAAATGCTTTGAAAGAAACAATAAGAAGTTGAGAGAGAGGAGGAGGACAGCTACTGGGACAGAGTGATGACTGGGCAAGGTCTTGGAGAAGGGGGCATTTGAAGTTGAGATTGGGGCCTGGAGGAGGAGGAAGAACAAACCATGCTAAAATCAGGGGAAGAAGATTTCAGGCAGGATGCAGCTCCAGAATAAAGGCTCTTTGTCAAGAAAGATGTATTTGAAAAACAGCTGGCATGACTCGAGCACCGAGAATGAGTTATGTGAGATGAGGTCCGAGAAATAGGCAAGGGCAAGACAGTCGGGGTCTGTGGACCATAATAAGGAATTTGGATTCTATTTGAAGTTCAGTGGGAAGCCATTGGAAGGTAATGGCATGATCTGATTTATGTTTGAAATGCATGTTGACCACTGTGTGGAAAATGGAATGTCGGGAAGCAAGACGGGAATGCAGGCCAGCTATTCCTTTTCTGGGGTTAGTGGTTAATGTTGGGTGCAGAAAGCTAGTGGTGACTTCGGCCTGGCTGGTGGTAATGGTGAGAAAGGGTAGAAGCAACAGATTCTAATAGAATCAGCAGGACTCGTTGGTTGGCTTAGGTGGGAAGTTGGAGGAAAGGGAGGACACTCAAGTTTCCGGTCTTGATTACTGGGTGAATGGAGGGGCCACTGACTGAGTTAGGGAAAACTAGGAAATGGCCTAGGCTTTTTGTTAGGTGAAAGGTCTGGGAATTGAGTTCAGTCTCGCATGTTTAAAATTAGAGATGCTTGGGGGGCGCCTGGGTGGCTTAGTGGGTTAAGCCTCTGCCTTCGGCTCAGGTCATGATCTCAGGGTTCTGGGATCGAGCCCTGCATCGGGCTCTCTGCTTGGTGGGGAGCCTGCTTCCCCACCCCCCGCCTGCCTCTCTGCCTACTTGTGATCTCTTTCTCTGTCAAATAAATAAATAAAATCTTTAAAAAAATTAGAGATGCTTGGGGTGCCTGCGTGGCTCAGTCGGTTAGGCATCCAAGTCTTGATTTCAGCTCAGGTCATGATCCAGAGAATCCAGCTTATTAACAGCATTTAAAGCCACTGGAATGGATGAGTCATCCAAGGAGAAATGAAGATAGGGAAAGGAAAAGGTCTGGGGTTGAATTCTGGGTCCTTCCAATATTTAGAATGTAGGCAAAGGAGGAAGAAAAGCCTTCTTTGGGGAGGAAGGGAAACCAAGGACTTGTGGGGTCCCCACAAGTCAAGAAAAAAGAGAGTACTGAGAAAGAGGTAGTGGTCAACAGTGGGGAATGTCCCTGAACGTGCACAAGGACAGTGTCACTGTATTTGGTAACCCAGAAAGCATTGGTAACTTTGACCCCCCCCATCACACATGCAAGCACACATGCATGGCAGGCTCACCGAGTTCCCCGTGCTCACGGATCTCAAACGTCACCCACAAGTCCATCCCAGCCTCTGTCCCCCGCATCTCCAATACCTGGTTGGTTAGCTCCTCGGCAGTCAGTGTTGGAGACACCTGGGGTCAGAGCAAGAGCAGAGGACCCATGCCGGTCAGTCCACTGACCCAGCACCCCCAATCCTCTCATCTCCCCTCCTGTCCCCTCAGGACTGACCTTTAGGGTGACACAGTTGTCTGGGAGCTGCTGTTCTATATAAACCTCCATGATGAGGTCTCCAGCCTGGGACAGCTGAGGGGAAGGCATAATGAAGTCAGGAGGACACAAAAGGATGCAAAAAATCAAGATCAGAGGACTCCCTATGTTGCCTCCTAAGCTCTTATCTCCACACACCCACCCCTGCCGCCCTGGGCGCAAAAGTCTCCTCCTACCCCTCATCCCTAGTGTGGCTCAGGCCCTTAAAAGGGAGAACCCCAGGAGAGGTAGAACCACATCTTCAGGCTGTGTGGGTACTTCCCCAGGCAGTGAAGCATATGCTTGGAAGGACAGGTCTAAGGTCAGACTCTCTGGGTTCCAACTCTGACACTCGATACAGTAGGACTTTGAATAAGGGACCCTCAAGGCCTCTGTTTCTTTATTTGAAAAAAATGGTATTGTCTGCCTCATGGAGTTGTGTGACACTACAGCAAGATCACAGGAGCTTGGAAGATAAGTGCTTAGCTGTTTGCTATCGTATTTACTGCTGTTATGCTCACCACTTTGTCTACCTCAGCTAACTCTTCCCTGGATCTCTTACAGGCGGAACCCAAGTATGCTGCCAGCATTTTGCAATGAAGGATCCTCATGATGGAATAAATAGAGCCAATCCTAAACCAAACCCCTCTCCCCAAAGCACTCCCTTTCTTGGGTTTCCCCTCTGTCTCAGAAAGCTGAGGGCCAATGTCCAGCAGCAGAAGGGCACCTTCCTATCTTGATAGTCCCTTCCGTCCCACTCATGAGTCTAAGGGCAGGACAGGTTACCTGTACATCCTTCCAGGTGGTGATAAGACTGACCTCCAAGTCAATCTGAGCTACCTGGTCAGAATCAATCTGTGGAAGGGCCAAAAAGGAGCATGTGTATTGTGGGACAGGTAGGGGCGGGAGGGGGGAGGCCGGGGTGGCGGGGGACTGGGGGGTGAGGGGGTGGGGTGCTAGGAAAAGAGGGAAACAGGAAGAGTTTGTAAGACCAGAAGACCTGTATGAGAGCATTAGAGGCAAGAAGAGCTAAAAACCAAGGGGGCAAGGGCACTTGGAGTGAGGTTATGGGATAGAGGGGCCCAGGCCCCAGAATCCCGGAAAAAGGACTATAGTCAGGGGTAAGGAGAGCTTACATCAAAGACAGAGACGTAGTCATCGATGAGTTCCTGCAGCACCCGCACCTCATGCTCCCCCCGCCCGTCTGTCTGGAACACACTGGGTGCGAACAGCAGGGCCAGGTTGCGCGTGCACATCTGGTTTAGAGCGGCACACTTTTGTACCCTGCAGAGGGGTGCAACACGGGTCATAAGGGATGCAGCTTGAGCTCACCTGTTTGCCCTTGCATCCATTCATTCAGGAAATCCTTAGAGTCAGTATGCTAAGTCCTGGGCTAAACACTTGGGATGCAGTTGAAAGACACAACACTGGCCTCAAGGAGATCCCAGTGTAAGGCAGAGACAGGTGAGGAATGGGTGATTATAACTCTGGTATGGGGCAGCAAGCTTTTTTTGGAAAGGGACATATAGTAAATATTTTAGGCTTGTGGGTCATACATTTTTTGGGCCAGTTCATCAGTTCCACTGTTGTAGAATGAGAGAGGCTACAGACACAGCATGAGTGAATGGGTGTGCCTTCACACTTTGTGTACAAGACTTTATTTAAGGATTTGTTTACTTATTTGAGAGAGAGAGCAAGCACACAGTGGGAAGGGGCAGAGGGAGATGAAGAGAGAGAGAACCTCAAGCAGACTCCCCCTTGAGCAGGGAGTCCGATGCAGGGCTCAATCTCACGACCCTGATATCATGACCTGAGCTGAAATCAAGAGTCAGATGCTTAACTGACAAAGTCACCCAGAAACTGTACAAAACTTTACTTAGAAAAACAGACAGTTGGATGGATACAGCCCATGCGCCATAGTTGGCCCATCCCTGTGATAGAGAATAATCCATACAACACAGCCAGGGTTCACCTTGGAATCCCTTAAAGACCTGTCTCCCCAATAGGCTGATCAAGGTAGATCTGCATCTTATTGTTCTTTGTGTCTCCTACCTCCAGCCCTTTGCCTGGTATGAATAATAAAACAAAATAACATTGGTTGCTCACCATTTCTGAATGCTTACTACCTTCATGCCAGGAGATGTAGTAAGAATTTTATAAGGATTATCTCATTTAACTCCCATCATCTAGGAGGTGGATACTATTCATTACGCCATCTTCCTTTTATAAACGAGGAAACTGAGGCTCAGAGAGTGCAAATAACTTACCCAAAGTCACACGCTAGAATGGTGGAGCCGGAGTACAGCCTAGATATGCTTGACCCCAAAGTCCACACTCAGAACCTTTGTGCTATGACACTTTCACTTAACTGTTTGCAGTCCACTTAACTGACACTTTCACTTAATGAATAAACGTGAGGCAGTGGGAGTAGGGTGGTAGAAGGAGTCGGACAGGGGTGATAAAGGGTCAGTGAGGAGCCTGCAGGGGGTCTGGCCATACTGACCGATAGAGATGCCCGATGAGGGTAGCAAGCGTGCGGCGGTTGACCTGGGGCAAGCAGCCAATTACTTCTTTGTATTTCTCCAGGCGCTGATTCTTCTGGGGTAGCTCTGGGATGGAGTCGGTGAGGGGTGGAGAGGATCAGGGAAGGGAGCAAGGAGGGAATTTTAGAGAAACAACCTCAGAATGGATTTCTCTCTGCCCCCTTCCCACCTTGACCTAAGCTGTGTCCCTGAGTGATCCTGGGGAGTGAGAAAGAGGGAGGGGAGCAACAGGGAAGAAGGCTGCCGAATCCCACAAAACAGCCTCAGGGATTTGATGGGGGAGGGTGGAGTTCCAGGTCATCCCTTGGTCGCCTGCCTGCGAGGAGTTCTTAGGGATCTTGGGAGTACCAGCAGCCTCCCTCCAGCGAGGCAACAGCCGTGCAGAGGTCACAGGGTCATCGAGCTCTCGAAAGAAGCGTTTGAGTGTATCAGTGACATCTTCCACAAAGTGTTCTCCTGGCCGGAGCTTCACTGACCGGGCATCCCGCCGGAATTCAGCCAGGAGCCGAAGGCTACGGGCACGGGCACCTCCTTTCCGGTATATGCCCTCCAGCTGGAGCCCTGAGAACAGCCAGCATCTCCACTCACCACTGAGCATCTCTGCTCTCCACTGCCCAGAGACCCAACTACCCACCCATTATCCAGTATCTGTGATCCTCCCACCCACCACCGACATGCTGTATCGTTATTGGGGTAAGGGGCCCAGAGAGGAGGAAGTCTGCCTCCAGGATCTTGATTCTCAAGACTCTGCTTAAGTCCTGCTCAGAAGCTTCTTCCCTAACCATGACATTCCACATAGCCTCCATCGCTGTCTCCTCACTGTTTTGATTTTGAGATAGCACTCCCAAATCACATTACAGTTGATCCTCCCTATTCACAAATTCCACATTGTGAATTCATCTACTTGCTAAAATTTATTGTAACCCCCAAATCAATACTCGGTGCACTTTTCCAGTCATTTGTGAACATGTGCCGAGTGGAGAATTTGAGTTGCCTGTTGGATACATTCCCAGCTAAGCTCTCATATGATAAACAAGTGTAGTTTTCATGGTATATATATAGAATCACGTTTTTTGCATTCTTCTGCTTTTTTTTGGGTGGTTTCACTGTTTAAAATGGCCCCCAAGTGAAGTGCTGAAGGGCTGTGTAGTGTTGCTAAGCGCAGGAAGGCTGTGTGTGCCTTATGGAGAGAATATGTGAGTCAGATAAGCTTTGCCCCTGTGTGAGTTACACTGCTGCTGGCTGTGAGTTCAAAGTTAACAGATCACAAGTATATGTTAAATAAAGTGTCTTTAAACAGAAACACACTTCAAACGAGTTTTACGTGTTGATCACTTGATTAAAGGTGACCAGAGATTCCCAGGAACCTGACTCTGTATTTCCACCGGGGCAATGATTTAGGATTCACTAATTCAGTGTTTGCAGCAACTTCGTAGAGCAAAACTACCGTGAATAACAAGCACTGACTGTATTTCTCTTACTTATCACCCATCTCTCGCCCTAGTCCCTGAGCTTCCAGAACCTTCCCTCTTCACTGCTATATCTCCAGTGTCTGGCACACGGGAGCTGCTCAGTAAGCATCTGCTGAATGAAGAGCAGCAGTGTGGGTACGAACACCCATATTCTTTTGAACATGAGGGAGACTGAGAGACGATGGGATCTAGGGAGTGGGGAAGTCACTGCCTGAGGCTAATGCCAAGGTATGGAGAATGTCTCTAGCCACCTACTCTCCAATCTCCATGCTATTTGTAGTTCATAGATGTGCCTTTTTTGCCCTTTACTGCCTTTCTTGGTTTTCTATGAATTTTCCTTCTCAAGAGTCCAGACTTCTAAAAAGGAGGTTTGCTAAGAAGCTAGATTCTACTTAGTCCTTCCTTGGGCAGGAGAAAAAAAGCAAAGGTCAAAAAGTCACAAAGAATTCTGGGAACCACTTTCAGAGCTGATCCTTTATGCCTGCATGGACTAATTCTGCTCAGACCTTCAAGTGTTTTGCTGCACAGCTTGGCTCTTGCCTTGTAGCTGTCCTCTCTTTGTTCTCTACGGCCCTCTAGTCCTATTTCAGTGCTCCTCTTCCTTCACACCCATGCCCCCACCAACAACTACCTTGGAACACTGACTAGCTGCCAGGTGCTGCACTAAAAGCTTTCCATATGTTATCTTACTATCACAACTATACTAGAAAATGAGGACTGTTAGTAGCCCCATTCTACAGATGGGGGAGCTGAGGCTCAGGCAGGTAAAGCAGCTTGCCAACAGAGATACAGTGGATTGCTGTTAGGCTGTAGTCTCTGGAGACAAAGCTCTTATAGGCAGACCACACCCTCTGGCTGTGCCCATGTCCCCCATCCCCTGCTGGCTCAGTATTGGCCAGTACCCACTCACCGTGCTGGGTGACAAAACTGATGCAGGCATCCACGATGATGGGAATGTCACCCCGGCTCATCTGCTGCTCCTGCAGCCCTGTGCCGCCCCCGCCAGCTGCCCCCTCAATGGCTGCGTTCCATGCTGAGAAATCCAGCCGGCCCTCCCCCTGCAGATACAGGGTCCTGAGACCCGAGATGCCTGAGTCAGAGCTAGCTCCAGAGGGTCTTTTAAACTAAGAGGCCCGGGATCGCAAGGACCAGACCTCCCAGAGCCACCAGCAGGGGGCAGCAACATTCAAACCAGATGGGGTCCCTGAAGGTGAATTTTTCTTTTTTTTCTTTTTTTTTTTTTTAAGGTTTTCCTTTAAAAAAAAAAAAAAGATTTAATCTATTTATTTGAGAGAGAGGGAGAAAGAGAGCATGCACATGCGGGGGACGGGAGGCAGAGGGAGAAGGACAAATGGACTCCCTGTAGAGTACAGAGACCCCACGCATGGCTCAATTCTAGGACCCCAAGACCAAGACACAAGCTCAAGTCAGACTCCCAACCGACTGAACCACCCAGGTGCCCAGTAGGCAGGCAAATTTGAGGAAGTGGGCATGGTCCAGCAGACCAGGGTAGAGGGTTGGGGCTGGGCTCTTGAGAGAGGGATGTGGGGTCAAGGATAGGGGTTAACACTTACCTTCCTGTCTCCACCAGGACCAAATGCTCCTTCTTGTCTGGGGTGTCAGCTGCTGAAACCACACCTGGAGAAGAATCATCAGACATTATCATCAAAATTTCTTCATCATATTGACCAATAAGTCACTAAGTATTCAAGGTATCTTGATGCCAGACTAGGAGTCTTCAAAGAATGTTGCATTAAATCCTATAAGTTACATACTATTATCCCCATTTTACAGGTGACACATTAAAGCTCAGAGACGTTAAGTTTCTTATCTCTTTACTTGTTATAAAATGGCATATCTAGGCTTGAACTCAGGTCTCTTGTCTCTAAAGCCCTCCGATATTATCCCACACTGTTCCTCTTTGAGGAAGAAGTGAAAGTATCCAGTCCCCTCTCCTAGTCCCCAACCAGCAAGCAACTCCAAGTAATACTAACAGTAACATTAATAACATATAATACTTATTAAACACTAATAAGATGCCTTCTGCCAGGCTCTTTGGTAAGTGTTTTAAATGCATTGCTTCATTTGAAACGTAACAACTCTTGTATCGTGCCCATTGTAAAGATGCAGAGACTAAGGCACAGAAAGGTTAATTAACTTGTCCAAGGTCACATAGCTAGGAAGTGATGGAGATGGGGTTCTGTATCTGGGCAGTCTGACTCCAGAGCTTATGCCTGAATCCACTATGTTCTGCTCTTTTCCATAGGGACCCCAAACAGATGAAGGTTCACTGCCCGCTACTCCATGGCCACCTTTCATCCCCGTCCCCACCCCTGCTCACTGATTTCCTGTAGCCGCCGCAGATGCACCATGTCCTCAGGGGCTGGAGGGCCAGGGCCCGATGCTGGACACAGGAAGAGGAGATCACCACGAAGAAGTCCGAACCCTGACAGCCAGAGGCCAGGGGCCAAGGCTGAATGGGTGGGAGAGCGCAGCCACAGGCGGCCCAGCCGCAGCAGCCCGGGGCCCAACAGCTGGTGGCAGCTCAGCGGGGAGAACCACTGTGAGGCAAGAGGAGGACATGGGGAACAAAGAGGGTAAGGAAAGATACAAGACGTAGGGGAGGGAAATAAGAGTGAGAAGGATAGGGAATGATACGAAGAGAAAGCAAAAGAAAGAGAGGAATGAAAAGGGATTGGAGAGAGCAGAAGAAAGACCCGAGGAGACAGGAGATGGATGGAGAAAGGAAAGAAATTCAGTTCAATTTAATTTGCTCCAGCGAACACAGGGCAGCCTCCTGCCCTTTGTAGGGTATCGGGGCCAGAAGAAATAGGGAGCCAAAATGCTATAACTGAAGAGTCACAATGCCCTGGGAAATCCCAGCATCCTAAGGGGCCGGGGAGGCTTCATAGAGAAACAAGGGTTTGAGGTGGTCCCAAAGGAGTGCTTTCCCAACCACCTGTGGGGAAGGAACACGGGGTTCTTCTTTTTGTTGTTATTGTTCAAAATTCCAATCTGTTACTAACCAGAACTTTCATTTAAAAAAAAAAAAAAGAAGAAGAAGAAAGAAAGAACTACTAGCAAAGTGAAATGAAAAGAGAAATATAAAATATAATCCCCCACTTTAAGAAATTAGATTCTACACCTAAAATCACTTTGTTCCATTGCTAAGAAAGATTCGGAACGCTCCCTCTCAAGTTCTGTTCTTATTCTGCCAGAGGCCATGACAAAGAATGAGCCAGTGTGGTGTCCCAGGCTACAGACTGCGCTTTGGGTAGGATGAGCTATGTTTTTGGAAAGTGCAGCTGACAATCAGAGGAGATAGCCTGGAGGCCACAAGGGCCATGACACAGCCCTGAAAGGACACACAGACCACTTCTTTGCTGGCAGGAGTTCTACTCCTCTAAGCAGAGTGGGGGAGGGTGGGGTCAGAGGCCAGAGAGCAGGTGAGCATTTCCCACAGAGGAGTGTCACCGGCTGCAGAGGCAACCAGGTAAGGCAAGGAGGAGGCCCTTGGGCTTTGGTAATGGGAAGTCACTAGGCACCCCACAGTGTGGCCGCTCAGAAGTCTGGCAGAGGTGGTGCAGTGGCAGCCACAAGGGGCTAAGGAGGAAGTGCAATCCCACCAGGGCACACAGCCTTCTGCCAGGCCGTCAGGATGGGCGCCAGTGTGGCGAGCTGACGGTAGAGCAGGGCTGAGAGAGAAACTGGGTAGGGATGGGAGCGACTGGCATCCTCATCACCCACAGATGGAGGGTCTGTGTGCGCCAGTCAGCAAGGGCCTCACATGTTACTTAATCCTCAACCCCGAGGGGCATGTCTTATATACCCACTCTATCCCTGTGGAAAAGCTTATGAGGCTGAGAGTTGAAGGACTCAGATCCTAGTCTGATTCTAGGGTGTGAATGTTTAACTCCAGGAGAAGGTTCAGGACAGAGAGACTGGCTTGCCTGGGAATGGAGATGCTGGGCATGTAAATGCAGCCTTCCTCTGGACTGGGAGAACTTGGGGGAGGGGGAAGCAGGAGTTAGAAGCAGCTTTTCCCTGGGCCGAGGCCCTGTACTGTCAGGTTTAGACCATGACCTTTGGAGATAAGAGGTCTGTTTTCAATCTTGGGCTCTGCTGCCTCCTAGCTCTGTGGCCTTGACCAAGTGACTTCATAACCTTGGTGACTCTGTTTCCCTATACGTCAAATATTGATAATCCTTTCATCTGAGGGTTGCTGTGAGAGTTAAATGAGATATTGAGTAAGTAGAACCTCACACTGGTCCTAGCACAGCAGTTAATCTTAGTTGTCGGTAGACAGTGGTGGGAGTGGTTATAGGAACAAGAGAGGGCAAAATGGAACAAGAGAGGGCAGCTGGGGACAGGAAAACCACGAACTGTCAGGGAGGGTTCTTGGCTGGCTCACCTTGCCCACAGCACTGGTCCAGGCCTCCAGACTGTCAGCTCCATCTGTGCCAAAATGCTGGATCCTTCCCCCGGTTAGGATGAGCTCAAAGGAAAAGGGGAATCTAGAGAGAAAGTGAGGTCAAGGAGGAGAAAGGGGACCAATACTGGGCTGGCAGGCTCAGGATCGGGAAGGCCAAAGTGGGGGTGCAGGGAGCACCGGGTGCAGTTACCTGTCGAGGTCACCTGGGTCTGTGGGTGGGGGACTCACACCCAAACATACAACATCCTGGGGCTGGATGAGGCTGAGGGGTTCAGGGCTGCTTTCTGACGCAAACATTTCCAGAGCCGCTCTCAGCACACACCATAGTCTGGGGGGAGCTAAGGAGGAGGCTGATGGTCAACAGGCAAAGCACCTCTGTCCCTACTGTCATAATTCCCATTTGCCAGACAATCATGCCATACCCTCTGCCTATGTATGACATCATGTGATCGTCACAATTCTATGAGGTAGGCATCACTTTCAATTCTCTTTTGCCCATGGGGAAACTGAGGCCCAGAGTTTGAGTAGCTTGCCCAAAGCACACAAATAGGAGGTAGCAGAGCTGGGATTTGGCCCAGGCAGTCTGACTTCACAGCATGGGCTCTCAGCCTCTCACCCAATGCTGCCACTGAGTATGGTCCCCCTGTTACTCCCAGCACCCAGCCCATGCCAGGACATGGCCCTGCTTGCCCTTCCCAGCCCTCTGTGGTATACTCTTGCTCATCCCAGTTTCTGCCCCATCTCCTCCCACCCTCGGCTCCCCTCTCACCATCCCGGCCCCTGCGAGGAGGTGGGGGTCCAGCTTTGTTGCTGATGGGACCACAGTACAGGAAGCTGCTGTAAGTGGCAGGCACCACCACCTCATTGTATACACCAGGGGAAGGGTCTGCAAGGGGAAGAAGTTGTCAGTTCGGGGGATGGCCTGAGCCCCCTGGGAAAAAGGATCAGATTGAGGAAGACAGTGGGACCCGATTCCACTGGCAGCATGGCCAAGTCAAGCCCAGGGAAGCCGGACTCCTCACCTCCCACATTAGAAAAGAGGGTGGCAGGAAGTGAGACTCCAGCCCTTGCCCACTTCTTGTCCCCACCAGTGAGCCCACCAGCCAGTCAGCCCAGGGGTGGGGGCCTCTGAGCGTGGGCCATCCTATAAGTGTCTCAGCCCCTCTGCCCTGACCACTGGAGGAAAGCCTCTTTAGATGACCACTTCTATGATCAGACTTCTCCCAGGGAGATGAGACCTTGCTTACGGATTCGCCTTGTCAGGGGTAGACCAGCACTAACACCTCAAATGTCCAGATCCACCCCAGGCAGTGGCCACCATTGGGCATTGCATGACATCAGGAAATAGACCCTAGGGGATCTAGAAGTTTGGGAAACTGCCCAGACTGGGCTATTGTGATGGCCTGAGGAAGAGGATATTTGAGGCTTCCTGGAACAATCAAGGCACCGGTCAGGGCTGAGAATTCTTGGGGGGTGAGAAAGGGGACCCTTGTGGGAATTACCTGGGAGCTGGAGACCGGGGAGGCTGCCATCGAGGGCTGCGGGGGACCAGGGCTCCTCGCCCTCGGAGGCCTCAACACAGAGGAGCTGGGTCATGTTCTTCAGCAGGTTGGGTCCTGCCACAGCGGCACACAGTGCCTGCAGGGGGGGAAGGGCCTCTGTCAGTGCCAAGACCCAACCTGAGAGCATGGGGACAGTCATCCAGTCATCAAAAACAGCCCCTACCACCCCAAGTCTAGGCATTTCAACTTAGAGACTACCCTCCTCCCCATCAGCTCCTACCTGAAGAAGCTGACTATGATCTGGATACTGAGGGTGGGGCTTCCGGTAGAGACCCAGGCGGTACTTCCGAGAGATGAACTCTCCCCGGGGCCCTGGGCTTGTGTCTGGATGCAGCCCCTCGCCTAGGGGTAGTGCCCCTGCCCAGAAGCGGTTGGCACGATCATTTCCCAGGACAATGAACAACTGCAGGATGACAAGGGGCAGAGGCAAGTAAGAGGAACTCAAGGGTCTCAGACATTTCTGCCCCCAAGCTGAGCCCAAGGCCTTTTTGGGATGCTCTCCTTCCCTTTTCCCCACTTTCTCCCTCTTCAGACTCCTCACCTGCACTATCTCATTACTCCAAACACTCGTGTCCAGCTTCAGGCTCTGTACCTTGGAGATCCCAGAACCCAGGGCCCGGTGCTGACCTGTTAGGGTATGGAGGGTATGTGGCACGGATGCTCAGAGCCCCCCGACCTAGCCCCCCTCCCTCTCACTGTTTCAGCCAAAGGCCCCAGCCCTCACCTGCGCACTGCTTGCAGATGACCACCCCCAGGTTGACAGCAGCCCAGTCTGGGCGGGAGGCCCCACAGTCCGCACAGTGCCGGTTTGCCCGATTGGACCAGATTTTCTCAGCCACCTCGTAGTCAGACAGGGTCTCGGTTACTGCTTCCTGCAGAGCGGCCGCCCAGCTCTGCCGAGCCCCCCCCAGACTCGGCTGTGAAGCTGAGGGGTGGACAGCCAGTCTGTGGGCATGGAGACCCCCTCCAACCTGTCCCATCCCACTGGCCGTTCGTGCAGGAGCCACCACTGGCCACAGCTGGGCCAGTCTAGACCTTCCTGAGACCTTGACCCTGTTCACTGGACTCCTGTGAGAGCACATCACTGACATCCTACTGAAGAGGCCTCAGTCCTCTGCCCGCCCTGTGCCACCTGCCCAAGTCTCTCCCCCAGGCCTGCCTCCTGCCAGTCTGGGCCCCACCTGAAGCAGCGATGGGGGGTGAGCAGATCAAAGCTGCGGCTCTTGGTCTCCCGGACGCTGCAGCCTTGCAGTTCAATGAAGCAGATCCCGATGCCCAAAGAAAAGGCCTGGTGGGGATTGGGGGGAGGGTGTGGCATTGGAGCAGGGACAGTGAGGTGCCAGAATGGATTAGGCCAGGCTCCTTGGCCCCGGCCCGACCCTTCTCACCTGCTCACTCTTGTATAGCGCCAGCTCTCCAGGGCTCAAAGCAGCAAAAACCTTGGCCTTGTGTCCTCGAAGCTCCAGCATGCCTGTGCGGAGGGGTCGGGGTGGCTGAGGGGGCCGGGGGTTGCCCAGGAGGCGCTGCTCCCTCAGGCAGGATTGCAGAGTGGAACACCATGTGTCCCGCTGGGCTGGTGGGGGAAAGAGAGGCTGGTGAGCCAGCGGGCCGTGTCCTTACGCGGCCTTCCTGCCCCAACCCGGGGGGCACACAGCAGGCCCCGATTCTCACCCTCGCTCTCTGTGCGAAACACAAATACCCTCTGGCCTGTGATGACCTGGAACTTGTTGTCCTTGCTGCTGCGGGTCATCTCGATGGCAGTGAGAGGGATCACCCCCTTGGGGAAGGGATCCTGCAGAGACAGTCCAGGGGCACAGAGGGACAGAAACTCAGCCATGTGTGCTGACCTGGGAGCCGGCACCAACTTTTTTAATGAGGTCAGCACTCATGTCACAGGCAGTGGGGTACGGCCGCTAGGCAAGCTACTTTAGATGCTGACATCAGTCATATGGTGACACCCCCCACCATGGGCTTCCCATCCTCCAGTCCTCAGCCCCCACCCTTTCCCCAGCCCCGACCCAGCCTCTCGCCAGATCCTGACCTTGTCACTGCCAAAGTACATGAGACTCCTTCCATTGAACTGCACAAAGCGCCTCTGGAAAACGTAGTTTCTGGGGACAGGAGGGGCCAAGATGAGTGAGCGGTGGAGGCTGTATCCTGGGGGACTCCTAGGGTCTGGGAGCTATGGAGACCTGACCCCCACCCCACCCCAGCCTCACCCTTCCCTCTCCTCCCTCCCCTCCCTCCCTTTCCCTCCCTAGCAGCCCACCCCTGAGGGGAGAGCTTGTCTAGCCAGCCACTGAGAAGGGGTGAGGGGCGGTCTGCCGTGGAGGAGAAGCTGGCATAGGGTGAAATGAGGTCATCGTTGGTTTCCACATCCAGGGTGGGTAGTGAGAGGGTGGAATCCCCAGGCAGCTCAAGGCTGGCATAGCCCGCGTCCTCCCGTGCCTCCAGATCCTGCCGGCTAAGCCTTAACGTGGGGCAAGACAGAGAAACACACGTTAGACCCAGTTCCCCGGCCATCCTCACCTGCGGTGCTTCGTACGATGCCTGGCAGGTCCTGGAAATAGGGAGTTTGGGAACGCAAAAGATTAGCCTAGAGTTTCTTCCCTGAGCACACTTAGATTTTTGGTTAGAGCAATTTCAGTCCCTCTCCTCTGCCATTAGTGTTACTTGGTAGAAAAGGTGGGGAAGGGCTGCATATCTCACTCTCTGTCACAGATGCTGGTATTTGATCGAGAAATCTTCTCAGTCCTTTCTCCAAAAAGGGATTGACCTTCCCTCCCTGGACCAAGTCCTGGTCAGTTCTCAGTAGGGTGACCTGACTGGTCACTTGCTTCTCCTCAGGGCCTCCCTCCAACACCCGTTCTTCTACCAACCCCAGAATGCTCTTTTAAAAATGCAAGTGAGGGGCGCCTGGGTGGCTCAGTTGGTTGAGCGACTGCCTTCAGCTCAGGTCATGATCCTGGAGTCCTGGAATCGAGTCCTGCATCGGGCTCCCAGTTCACGGGGAGTCTGCTTCTCCTTCTGACCTTCTCCTCGCTCATGCCCTCTCTCACTGTCTCTCTCTCAAATAAATAAATAAAAATATTTAAAAATAAAAATAAATAAAAATAAAAATAAAAATGCAAGTGAGGTCATTTCACTCCCTCCTGCATGAAATCCTGCAATAACTTCCCATTTGCAATTAGGATAAATCCAAATTCCTCACCACAGGCTGCAAGATCTTGTACAATGAGACCCTCGGCCAATCCCCTGCCCTCTTCTTGTATCATCCTCGCCTTTGCTTTCTACCGTTCAGCCACATTCTCTTCTCTTTCAGAATCTTTGCACATGCGGCTGCCTCTGCCTAGAACATGCTTCCCCAGTCTGCTTTTCCCCATCTTTTAGGTCTTTGTTTACACCATCTTCCCAGAAAGTCCTCTATTATTCTCTGTCACTTTCCAGTAGTCTTTACCTCAGTAGCACAAAATCACTTGCAAAACCTTAAAATACGGGTATGTGGGCCCCCTACTAGACCCCTGAGTTTGATCTTCTGGGAGTGGGGCCCAGGCATCTCTAATTCTGAAAGTTCCCCCAGCTATAGCACAGCTAAGGTTGAGAACCACCTGTCTACCCTCTTTGTTTTCTACTTCACTGAGAAATTGAAGCAATCAGACAAGAACCCCACAGACTCCCAGTGCCTCACCTACCAAGTTTCACACATACTTTGCATTCCTTCTGCCACCATCATAAACATCCCTGTCTGAAGCCAGTCCCTCCTCTGAGCACTGTCCTCTCACCTACGCAAGGACATTGCTCCAGACTTTCTCCCCTTTCTCTCCCCTACAGCAGCTAATTTTCCCTCCCTCCCAGATCCCTCTCTCCCACTCCACCTATAAACATATATAACAGTCCATCCTACAAAAATCATTTCCTGGCTCCATTTCCACTATCGACAACCACTCAACTCTCTGCCCTTCTCTGCAGAAAAACTCCTCAAAAATGTTGTTTATACATTCCAACTTCTTCTGTTACCTCCTGAGACCATTCTGAGGCAGCTTTCACCTCTACCCCTTATTAAGGTCCTCAGTGACCTCCATGTTGTCAATGCCAGAGGCCAATTCTCAGTCCTCATCTTCCTTGATCTCAGCAGCATTTGATACCACTGACCTCCCCCTCTTCCTTTCTTCCCTTAGCTCCTAGGATGCCACATTCTCCCAGTCTTCCTTTTCCTTCACCAGCCATTCCTTTTCAGTCTGTTTTGCTGGTTCTTCCTCTTCTCCCAAACCTCTTGATACTGGAGTGTGCCAGGACTCTGATCTTGGCCCTCTGCTCTAGCGACATGCACTCAAAGCTACATACACTGACCTAGAGGCTGACAACCCACAAATTTAGATCTCCAGTTCAGACCTCTCCCCTGAACTCCAGACTTGGATATCCAATGGCCTATTTGTTATCTCTTCTCAGGCTTGTAACATATACCTCAAATTCAGCATGCCCAAAATGGAACTCCTGATCTCCTCCCAACCCCCGGCTTCATACACCGTCTTCCCCATTTCAGAGCAGAGCAATTCCAGGAACTTTCAGTTGCTCAAATGGCGCTATCCAACAGAACTCAATGTGAGAACCACACACGTGATTTTCGATTTTCTAGCAGCCACATTAAAAAATAAAAAGAAACAAGTGAAACTAATTGTAATAATATATTTTATTTAATCCAACATACCCAAAATATTAACATTTTATTATATCATCTGTATAAAAAGTAAGATATTTATGTCTAATTCTGTTACACACACCCAGTATTGCTTTGTTCATACTAAGTCTCTGAAATTTGGTAGTTGTAGAGTTCCAATGCATTTTACTCCAGACTAGCCGCATTTCATGTATTTAGTAATCACATGTGACTAGTGGCTACCACGCTGGACAGGGTAGGCTCAGTCTGAAACCTCTGAAGTCATTCTTGACTGCTCTTTTTCCTCATACCCCAACTTCTTAGGACAGTTTGCCTTCAAAATATAACCCAAATCTAGCCACTTCTCACCATCTTCACTACCGTGACACTCGCTGGAAGTGTCTCACCTAGATTACGGGAGCTACCTCCTCACTTGGTCTCTCTGCTTCTGCTTTTGCCCCCTACAGACCATTCCCAACACAGCGACCAGAGGGGTTCTTAAAATGTAAGGCAAAACCCTCCCAAAGGCTTCCCTTTCACTTTGAGTCAAAGCGAAAGTCCTTACAAAGTCCTACCTGATCTGGCCCCTTTGACCTCTGTGTCGTCATCTCCCAGTCTTCCTGCTCTGGCCACTCTGCCCCAGCCCTGCTGGCTTTGTCACCACTCTTGGGTCCCCCTGAAAGTCTCTATTCTGGCCACTGCCCCCTGCCTTGGGACACTTTTCTCCCAGATACTGTCACAACTAACTCTTTCACCCCCTTCATTTTGCTCAAATAACAATCTGGCAATTCTTTTTTTTTTTTTTTTTAATATTTTATTTATTTATTTGACAGAGAAATCACAAGTAGGCAGAGAGGCAGGCAGAGAGAGAGGGGGAAGCAGGCTCTGAGCAGACAGCCCAATGCGGGGCTTGATCCCAGAACACAGAGATCATGACCTGAGCTAAGGCAGAGACTTAACCCACTGAGCCACCCAGGCGCCCATACTCTGGCAATTCTTAATGAAAAACTGCAGGGTGTATCCCCCTCAGTCCATCCCGGCCTTCTTACCCAGCTCTATTTTTTTCCATGGCATTCACCATCTTTTAACATATGAAATAACTTACTTATTGTATCTATTGTTACTTGACTATCTGCCCACAGGGGCTGGGATTTCTGATCTATCCCAAGTATCTACAATATCTGGCATGCAGTACGTGCTCAGTAAAGATGCCTTAAGTAAAAGCATGAAGGGGTACCTGGGTGGCTCAGTCATTGAGCATCTGCCTTTGGTACAGGACATGATCCTGGGGTCCTGGGATTGAACCGCATTAGGCTCCCTGCTCTATGGGAGGCCTACTTCTCCCTCTCTCACCACTTCCTACTGTGTTCCGTTCGCTGTCTCTCCATCAAATAAATAAATAAAATCTTAAAAAACAAAAACAAAAATATAACAACGAAAGCATGAAAAGCACTTCTCCCTATTTTAAGTCATATATCCTTTTGTTTGTCTGCTTGCCTCCTTTCCTGTCTGGCCCACTGAATCATAAGCTGCCTGAGGAGGAGACTGGGTCTTTCCTAATCCTGCTGTATCTAGAGTACCCGGCTGGCACGCAGTGGACACTGAACACACACTTAATGAATAATGGGTACACAGCCACCGCCAACTGCTCCTCAAGCGTCCCTCTTCCTGCCATCACCACCCTACTGACCACTCACCTTTGTTCAGCCCTGTCCTGACAGACACCTCTGCCTTCTCTCCTGTCCGCGGGTCCTGGGGCTCCCACAGGCTGGACACCATAGTACAGGCAACCAGGGTCCATGATGTGTACTGGCAGGGAGAGGAATGGGGGAGACAGGGAAGAGGTCAGATGGGAGTGTCTGCAGTCCTGAAGGGCCTTGTTCCTCTCCCCCCAAATCCATGCTAACCCACCTACCTGTGCCTGCCGTGGGCCTGAGGGCAGGGGTAGGGGCAGCTGCCTGGGAGCTATCTGGGGCCCTGAGGGAAGAAGTCTAGTGATCATTAAGGGAGAGAGGAGACAGGACTAGCCCTCATGTCCTGCTCCTCCCAGCCCCCACCCAGCACTGGCTCCCAAGGGAGCCAACCCCACTCACATGTCCTGAGCTGTCTGGGCCCCGCCTCTTAAGTCCAGGCCAAAGTAGATGGTGTTGGGCATCATCTCCATAGCATTCAAGGCTGAAATTTGCTCGGAGGAGGAGGTGGGGAGAAGTGGGGACTTGGGGCTGGACTCTGGGTTCCTGGACACTTCGGGTCTCCAGAGGGCTGGGCTCACTCCAGCCCTTTGGGTGGCAGTAGGGCCACTAAGCCCACCAAATACCGTCCTGGGCTTAGGCACAGGCTTGGGGGTCTGGGCTTGGGGCGCTAGGCTAGGGGATGGCTCCATGGCACTGTCCGACTGGGGACCCAGGGAGCCCTCTGCAGCACCTGCCTGCAGCAGGCGCAGAATGCGTTTCCGGTGCCCTGTGGCGCTGATGCCCAACTGCCTCAACTCGTCGTGGCCCAGGCCCCGGGCTGCACCCGCCGTGGCCAGGCCATGCCGCCGGAACGTGTCTGCATACTGCTCCAGGTGCACCGTGGCCAGCCACACAGCGATGTCCAGGTCCTGAGGGGCAGCCATGGGGGCTCAAGCCATTGCTGGGGGGAGCGGCAGGGTGAAGGGAGGGCTCAGGCTGAGATTCCCCCTCCCTGTCCCAAAGTCTGAGGTCTGGACGGGGATAGGTACCAGACTTCAGTCTTCCTCCAAAGAAAAATGACCAGTGGCCGGCAATCTGGAGGAAGAGCCATCCCAGAACATCAGAAGGGGCTTTCTTACTATAGAAGTCCTTCATTTGCAGGTGAGGACACTGAGGCCCAGAGAAGGGAAGAGGCTTGCCCCAGGCTCACAAAGAGCTGGTGGAAGTGTTGACCCCCAAGCTCCTGCCCCACCTAGGTCTGCCTCCGCTTGCCCGCACACTCAACCACGTAAGCACAGGGCAAGAGGAGAGAAGCCCGCAGGGGCAAAATGAAGTGGGACGGTGGGGAGGAGGGGCCCCATGATGTGGTATAAGTGGGGACAGGGGCAGCTGTAGCGTAGCAGAAGGAAGGAGGGAGGAGGTGCAGCTCCCACTCCCCCTGGTTTCCAGAACCGAGGTCCAGGCTCTTGGCCATCCTAAACCTGGTCATTCCCAGTTCCTCCTCCCCTTCCACCTATTGTCTCTGCTCAGACTTCCTTCCTGTCCCTCGGGCCCTGGCCGCCCCCACATCCTGTCTGCCTTGGTCAGGCTGCCCAGAGAGCCCTAAGTCCCCCAGCAAGTAGGGTCCTGGCCCGAGGCAGAGACCACTTGGAATGAGGCTAGGGTGGGGAATCGGGTCAGAGAGAGGCAGACAGGAAGCCAGGGGTACTCCAGGGTCTTCCCTCTCCACCAGCCTGCAGCATGTTCACACATGTGTATGCACATGTGAGCACCCTCCTGTAGGGACTCAGAAGTGCGAAATGACATCCCTCTGCCTCTGCTTTCTCCAGGTCTTCCTCTCCAGAACCTTCCCATTCCCTGCACCTGCCCTTGAGCTCAGGTCTCTGAGGCTCTGTCCCATTCTGCCAAACTGCCCCTGACCCTGGTCCATTCTCTGGACTCGACTCAAATTCTGTCTCCCTGAAGTGTTCTCTCTGCCTGTCCCTGTCTCTACAGCACTACATCTGTCCCCACCTCTACCTAAATCTATCTTCGCTCCTCTCCTTCTTTTGCTCTCTATCATTAAGCCTCTCCTTGCCTCAGTCTCCAATTGTAACTAGACCTTTAGATGTACGTGAATCCAGACTTCTGTCTCTCCGCCTCTGCCTGTTAGGCTCCCTCCCTGTTGCTCTCTGTGGGGTCCTGACTAGGACGGCCTGTCGCCCCAGCATCAGTTCTGGCCTCTCTGCCTTTCCGCGGTCGGGCCCCATCCCCAAGCTTGTTAGGGCCTGACTCAGAGCCCAGTTTCCCAGTGACTCAGACCCATCCGAGGGCACGGGACCGGGAACCGAGAGGTGTGCCGGGGCAGCAGTGGCGGGGGCGGGCCGGGCAGCACGGGGCTGTGCGGGCTGAGACAGGGGAGGGGGCAAGAAGGGAGGGGGCAGAGGCCGGGCCACCGGAGGGAGGGGCGGGTCGCGGCGGGGAGGGGGCAGGGGAGGGCCGCCGGCGCGGAGGGAGCCCTCGAGGAGGGGACGGGGAGGAGTCTGGGAAGCAGGGGCCCGTGGACGCGGGGGTCCTCACCTCACTACGCGGCCGCCGTCCGCTCCCAGTGCCTGTTGCGCCGTCCGAGTCTCGGGCCGCTTCGCGCCGGCCCCGCCTCCCCTCAGCCCTCCCCGGACGGGCCGGGCCCCGCCCCGCCGGCGGGTTCCCTCCCCGGGCTCCCCACCGCTCGTTGTGCAAGCGCCGGCCTTCAAAAGGTCGGGGCTCCTTACCCAACCGCGGCGCTTATCTCGGGGCCTGGCCAGCTCTAACCTCTCAGGGGCCGAGAAAGGGACCGGAACAGGGCTGGAGGCCAAGACAGACTTAAGAGAGAGGGACAAAGGGGCAGAGCCCAGAACGGAGGTGGGACAGGGGTAGAACCAGCGCAAAAAGGAGGGCGCTGTGTGGAGCACGGCTTTGCATCCCATCTACTGTTCCCTCCCCGTCGTGCCAAAAGAGGAGGCCGAGGGGTTGGCCCTAAGACCCCAGAGTGGCAGGCCGTCTACCACGCCCAGCACGGTGGCTGGACCCTAGCGCCCTGTTAATGGGAGGACAGGATCAAGCATCCAGAAGTTTCTGAGAGCCATAGCCTTCCAAGCTGGGGACCCCTTCAGCGGCAGCCCAGCGATTTGAGGTGGGGGGATAGGGGCAGATGCCCAGCTGAGGAGTCCCCATCCGCTTCTCCCTCCCCAAGGGCCATGCCTAAGTCTCTTCTCAGAGGTGAACGGCAGCAAGGCCACACTCCTACTCCCAAACCAGGGCTTGAGACTGCCCTTTTGAGGACAAGCCTGGTGCCTTGCAAACACAGTGACCCAGGAAGCACTCTTTTCTTCCTTGGGAGAAACCCCTTCTCATTCTCTTACAGCAATTGGGGTAATTCTTTGTTGCCTGAAGAGAAATGGATCCTCTCCTCTCCCCAAATCTTGCTTGGAGCCCCAGCCTTGGAGTCTGTCCCCCAGAACCTGAGGCACTTCCCCCTCACAGCTGGACTGGCTTAGCTCTGGGGTTAGGGGGGAGGAGGCAAGCACCGAGCACCGTTGTCTGGCTGTGTTTTCCTGTTTGTATGAGAGGAAGTTGGCTGTGAGTCAGCAGACACAGGAGCTGTCAGTAGCTAGGGGAAGACCCCTGCCTCAGCAGAAGGTAAAGGGAGTGTGGACAAGTGGTCCCCACCTCTCCCAGCTGCTCCAGCTTGGAGAGGATGTGCCATCTTCAGCCTCCTGCAGCTCTTCTCTCTGAGAGAGTGATAATAATTAATCATTAAAATGGCCATGGTAATGGCTACCACTGACAGAGAGCTGACTCTGTCCCAGGCCCTGTGCAAATACTGCTTTGCAAGTTTCCATTAATTCTCACAACTCTTAAGATAGGGGATTTTATCACCTCCATTTTGCAGATAAGGAGCCATTTTTCTGGATGGGCAACTGTGGGGCCAGGAGAATGCTCTTCACCCACCTCCTACTCTAAAGACTGAAAATTGACCAAAGACCTCAGCTGCTTCTCTCTGAAATCCATTCTCTCCTGGTTTAAGGCCAGCATCCCACAGGGCTGTCTCCAGCCAGTGACCAAGCTTAGTAGACATCCTAAGGTAGGCCCATTCCTGGAAAATAATGGGACTCCTCTGACAGCTGACCTTGACTCAAGAGTCCCCCCTGTGCCCTTGATGAACTTTCCTTCTACTGCATAGGGGTCCGGGATGCTTCCTCCCAACCTTCCTTCCTTTGCTCTCTCCATCCCTCTCCCAGCCCCTGGCTCCCTTTCTCTCCCACATTTCCCTGTAACTCCACAAAAGAAAGGAATCAGGTAAATTACTATGGGGCACAGGGATTTTGGAGGGACAGGTTTTGGGGGGTCCTGATCAGGAGCTAAATGCAGGAGTTCTGAACCTTTTGTGTGTCAAGTTCCGCTGTGGCAATCTGGTAAAACCTAGGTACCCAGTCTCAGAATAATGCTTTAAAATGCATAAAATGAAATATGTAGGATTACAAAGGAAACCAATTATATTGTAATACAGTTGTAAAACTATTTTAATGTGATACCATAATATATGTGCTTCTTTATTAATGCTTTAAATAAAATCTAGCAATGGGTTGATACCTCACATAATTTTGAAGCTGTGAGGAGCATAAATGATATTTCAAAATGTCTGCAATACTGTAATAGGATACAAAAATATAAGTGATCTTTATTGGTGGCAAAGCCATAATTATGGCTAATACGACTGGTTTGTGGCTACTCTCATAATTGAAGGAAATGCTAAATTTCAGCTAGAGATTAGTGAAAATAATATTTTTTCCCATCCAAGTTTAGTGACTCCACATTAAGGATACCTGAGTTAAGAGTGTCAGGGCTGAGCTGCAGAGAGGGAGACCCAGCTCTCTCCTGAGACCCTTTGGGGGTGGGTGGCGACTCTGAACCCTGGGTTTACCCCCCTTCCCTCTTTCTCCCTGGCTCTCTCACTTTCTCTTTGTCTCTGTCTCTCTCTACCATGCACCTCTCATATCTGTTTCTCTGTTTCTCTTATTTCTGTCTCTTCTTGTCTTTCTGTCTTCCTTTGAATACATTTCTTTCTTCATTCTGAATCTTCTAATGGTTCTTCTCTGTGTGTCCATCTCTCTGCCTTTTCTCTCTCTGTACCTCTGTGTCTGTGCCTCTCTCTTTGTCCCCTTAATCTGTCACTGAGGGGACAGAGCAAATTCAAAGGATTGGTGTAGCCTGAGCACAGTGGGGCAAAGACAATGCCAACTCTAGGGTCCTTGAGAACTAGAAGAGGGCGTATCTCTGGGCCTGCAGCTCTGGCTCCAGAGGCAAGGGTCTTCCTTCCCCACTCTCTCTTCCATTCTCAACCTCCTTAAGGGCAGAAACAGGTCAAGATAGAGATGAGTGAGAATGAAGGCAGTGAATGGAAACATTTCAGGCTTTGGAAGGTAAGGGCTAAAGCTTCTGTGACTCTGAGCTTGGATACAGTGTCTCTTTCTCCAAACTCCCAGGAATCCTGATGTCAAGGCTATCTTCTGCCCTCCTCTGTGCCTGGGCAGAGAAGGGGAGAGTACTGACCAGGTCTGGTGTGCAGGCACAGGGACTCAGAGGTTAAGCCAGCAGCAGATGTCTGCCCTGGTCCCCAATGGGTGGTCAGAAGGGAGATCAGTAGGCTCATGGAAGGGGAGCACAGAGTTCTGGGATTGATCTTTCCTGAGTACTTAGAGTGGGGTAGAGCAAGCAAGTCAACTGTTTCCCTTGGGGTGGTATATGCCTCCCAAGAAGATTTAGATGAGGGGAGGACTCTTGGTCTAAGAAAAATGGGGACAGAGAGTGGTCACGGAATGCCCTAAAAGAGCTGAAGTCACCTAGGAAAAGAGAATAGGGGAATGGTCGTGTGAGAGGTGAACTAGTTCAGAGGAGTGAGACTGAGACTGCGTGGGTGGCTAGCGTCCCTTGGAGGGGCTGCCTCTTTGAGAGGTTGTCGTGGATCCCTGCCCGTTAGCCAGACCTCCGTCATCCTCATGGTCCAAGGGGTTTACTACAGCAAGATCAGCAATGCCAGGCTGAGCCAGGGAACTCACTTTACTCACTTTACTGCCATGGCTGGGAATCTGGGCTGAACTGCCATTCCCTTTTGGGATATCGCCTGTGATCCTTCAGGGCCTGCTGGGCTCGGGGTGATAGGAAAGGACCCTCTCCAAATCTTAATCCTGGACTCCCACCAGTTCACCCTGGCAAGAGAAACGCCATTATTGACCATCACCATCCGATCTGCCTGCCCTGGTCTAATCCAAATGACAATCGCAGAGCTCATGTGACCCAGTGTATGCATGGAGCCACAGTTTAAAAATAAGGCACAGCCCAGAAACCAAAAAAAATGAACAGGTTCTCAGTGTTTCATCTCTGAAAAGATCTGACAACCTACAGCAACCCTTCTGTGTTGGTCATAAATCTCGGTGGTCTGGGACTTCTCCCTCAGCTATACCTCACCTCCCTAAAGTCCTCCCCTTGGCCAGCACAGTCTTCCTCTCACTCATACTCTTTACTGTGCAGTTTGATTCAGCCTCGCTGGCATTTTGCAGGGACGGAGGAGTAAGAATAAATGTGACTGATGCGTGGAACAAAAGGGGTGCCAGTGAGCAGAAGAAGGGCAGAACCAAGCAGTGGGGATTGGGGAAGGGAATGTCCCAATACCCCTTTCCAGTTCTCTCTTTGCTCTTCCACCTCCCCGTCTAAATCATGGTCCACTACAGCCGCAATCGCTTAAGAGGTCATTTTATTCCCCAAAAGTGGATGGTACAATGATGCAGGTAAGGACAGCTCCAGAGTCCCTTCCTGACCCACCTCTACCTGCTGTGTGACCTGAGCAAGTTACTTAATCTCTCTGCACCTTGGTTTCCTTTTCTGCAAAACGGAGAGGTTAAAGCAGTGCCTATCACAGGGTTGTTGGAAAGATTCATCTGTGGAAACATACGGGTACATGGAAAGGGTGTGATGCACTCACTCTAAGCACTCAGTGAATGTTTCCCATTCCTTATTTCTGTTTGCGTGTCACTTCCACAGCGGCTCTGGATTAAAACCAGTTTACCTATCACTCCCTCATTCTGGTACATGCCAGGATCGTGTTTTCATCGATCACCCTATTGCCACATTGGACCACATTGTTCTCATCATGCTTCTCCCACCTCCCAAGGTTGTCATCTTATCGATTCCACCACTTGTGTTACTCCTCACCCAGTATCCCGGCACCCCTGCACTCCTGATCACCTCGACTGTCTCCAGAGGCCTCCAGGGCTCATTGGTTCTCCTGCTTTCCTGTTGGGAGGTAGAAGGCACATGATCACCCTCGCTGGGTCCTAATGAGATGGGCCAATTGGAGTGGGCATGGACTCTGAGGAGCATGTTTCTTGTAGGAAGGAACACTTCCATGCAATCATTTCATTTATTTCTCAGATTTTTATTGAGCATCTCTTCTGGACTAACCACTGTTCAAGGGTTTAGAGATATAACAATGAGCAGAAATAGACTGTGGGGAGCTTGGTCTACTACGGGAGTGAGACATTTACCAAAGAACCCCCAAATAAATGTGTAGAGTCGTTACAAAGCAAGATGAATGTTACAAAGGTGAGCAGTATAAGAGTATACATCAGAGGAAGCTGACCTAGCCTGGGGGGTCTGGGAAGGCCTCTCCTAGAACCCGTGTTTAATTAAGCTGAGATCAGAAAGATGGGTTAACTGGGGGTGGGAAGAGAATGTTGTAGGCCAAGGAACCACAAGTGCAAACCTAGTAATAGAGACAGAGCAAAGAGATGGGAGTTTGAGGCCACCTGAAATTAAGGGTGAGACCTCAGGGGCCAGGGCATGTAGACCCTTGTAGTCCTTGGGTGGGATTTGGTCTCCATTCCAAGAAGAGTGTAAGCATGGGGTGATAGGTACAGACTTGGACTTTAGGAAGATGCCTGCAGGGAGAATGTTAGGATCAGCACAGCTCTCCCCACCTCCAATTTCTCTGGCCCGAGGACTGCACCACCTCCCCCACTCACACACCCACTTCTCCAGCTGCTCTCCATTAAGCCCCTCCCCATTACCCTTCTCACATTTTTGTGAGGATGAGGTCATCATGGGGGAGGGGAGGGAGTCCCAGTCCTCTAAGCCTTCTTTATCCTAAAGGGCTAGGGCACCCCCCCAACACAGGGAGCGGGGAGGGGAGGAACAAACTCAGTACCTCGCCCTTCCCCCCATCTAGAGCCCCAACTAGAGCCCTGTCTCCTGCCATCCCAGACTGTTGTGGAACAGTGAGCTGTAGGTATAAGAAGATATTTTTATGCAATCTTATATTTTATGAAGGGCATCTCATCTTGCCACTACCACTGACTTCCACTGGGGCCTTGGGCAGCTGACCCCCTCTTTAGGTCTCAGTTTCCCTGTGCAGGTTTACTGGAGTGGGATCTAAAGTTCCAGACGGTGACTATAGTTAACAATACTGTATTGTATACTTGGAATTTGGTTAGGCAGTGGATCTTAAATGTTCTGACTACACATATTTGCAAAACGGTACATGTGATGGGGCTGATGTGTTAACTAACTTCACTGTGGTAATCACTTCCTAATATATATATAAATCAAATCATCAAGTTGTATACTTTAAAGTCATACAATTTATCGAGCAATTATACCTCAGTAAAGTGGAAAAAAAATTTTTTTTGTAATGGGCAGCACTGTCCAATAGAACTTTCTTACTAAGGAACATGTTCTGCATCTGTTCTGTCCAACATGGTAGCCACTAGCTACCTATGGTCATGAAGACACTGACAAGCGGCTGGTGAGCCACAAGAGCTGTATTATTTTATTTTATTTTATTTTATTTTATTTTATTTTATTTTATTTTATTTTTAATCTACCCTTAAACAGCCCCATGTAGCTAGTGGCTGCCATACTGGACAGCACAGGCAGATCATAAACTTTTATGAAAATCTGATGACAGTTATGGATTCCTCCTTAGAAAAATATCCATGTGCTCTATCAGAGATGGGCCCCTCTGGTCCCATTTCTGTATCCCAGGCAAGCACAGCTGACTGGCTGGAGCTCAGATCCTTCTACTCTGCCCTTCTTTCTGCCTCAAAAACGCAGGAAAAGTGGGTCCTTGCCTGGAGGTGGAATGACTGGGATATCCCAGGAACGAACAGACCACAGTTGTAAGCCTAGTTTTCTGCCCCTAGCCTGGGGCACTCCCCACATATCTAAAGAAAGGCAAGGTAGTGAAGGGCTGGGTGCAGGGGTAAGAGGAGATTCTCTCAGTATTGACCTGAACTTCCTCCTGCCCTGCTTCCACCCACCCAAATGCCACTGGGCCAGTTCCTCTTGCAGCTTACAGCTCCATTGGAATGTGAGGCTGTGCTCTGGAGATGGGATTGTGCCATGGGCCCCACAGTGTTTATGAATAGAGGGATTTGGAGTAGTCAGAGGGTGGGAGACCTAAGCCTAGAGGGTGGGTCCCTGGACTCGAGTCCAGCCCCTCGAGGCCTCCTTGCACTGGAAAAGGGAGCAATCACTGTGTGCTGCTCGGGACCTTCTTCCTGCGGCTACTTCCTCCCGCCCCCAGTGCCACCCGCTCAGTCCTGATGTTTTTACTGTTTTTCCAGATCATCTGAGAGTCAGACCCTGCCCCCACCCAGGAATATGGAGGTCTGGGGGGCTCAGAGAAACTCACTCCCTGCCCTGCATGGATGGGTGTGTCCTCTCATTCTGGGGAAAGAATATTGTCTTCCCTTGTGCTGCTGGATCCAGCCACTCCTTCCCAGAAAACTTCTTACACAGACCCATTTACAGGGGACAACCTTCATTGGGACTTAACTTTTCCACCCTCTGCTCTCCTCTCCCTCCTTGCTGTTCTTGCCCACCCTCCCCTCCTTTTTTTCTCAGATGTCCACCCCTTTGCCCCACCTCTGCAAAGAAGTTGGTCAGTTCCTGCCCCCACAGGGTCTCTCTATTCTTCTGGTTTCAGCAGCAGCATTGGAGTGGTCAGACTCCGGCTCTGGGACTGATCCCAATGTGGGTCACACAGGGGGAGAAAGCTCTCGGAAACCCCTTGTCTAGGTCCTCTAGGAACAGAGCATGTGGCCAGGATTCAGGTGAAAGCCCAGGGGGCTGAGGGCGAGGAAGAGGAAAATTTGGGCGGGGAAGACACGAGACAGGGGGTGTTCAATGCCTTACTGTGTTGACTTGCTTCATATGGGCCAAAGAGAGACACTGCAGGTTGCTTAGCCAGAGTGTGTATACTCAGTTTGTGGTCAGACTCCTCTAGAAGACCGTAAAGAGGAAGCATACCTTGGAGTAGCCCACAGCTTCCAACCATATCCTATCCCCATGGGTCAGGGTTCACCCCAAGCTTCTGGGTTCTGTCAACCAATTTTGGCGGCACTCAGAAACCAGGTCCCACAGTACATAGCGTGGCCTTTCATCTACACTCGAAGGTGAGCAGCAACGTCAGAGAGAACAGGGAAGTAGTCAAGGCATTCGAGAAGAAAGGTTTGTGTCTCAGTATGATCTAACCCTTGTGCCACTGAGATCCACTCACACCCCTGCATTACATAAGACTTCCCTACTTCAACATGCGGTTTCCATTTTTGTTCATGTTAACAAACTTGTCATTACTTTTTCCCCAGAAAGGGAGGTATAATCCACTGTAAATAAGACCTCTTCGAGGTGACGCTAGATGTGAATCAAGGAAGATAAAGACAAGAGGGTTAATGAAGCAAGCATTGTCCCCACTGCTGTAGCTGGTCCCGACTCTGTAATTGATATGGTCTCCCTCCTCCTTCCCTCAGTTAACCCTCTGCAGAGCTCAACTACTTGCCAGGAGAGATGATACAGGTTTCCATCTCTGAGAGCTCTGATCCCTTGGTTGCCTTCCCTTTGGGGACTGTCCTTGGTGAGGCTGCCCATTGTCAATTACAACTGGGTGGAAGGTTCTAGGAGATGCCCGGTGAATCTCCTGGCTGGGTACAGGCATACCCTTCCCTGCCCTTTTTGCATCTACATGTATTCCACCCACAGCTCTTGTGCCTCATGGTCACCAGGATGAATGACCTTGACTGGTACGGTAACGAAGAATTGAATGTCCTTTTTGGCTATTTGGTGCCCCCCGCATGAGAAGCATAAAGGAGCCAGGTGGAAGCCACAACTTCCTTTTTAGTGCAGACATTACCGTGTTCCCTAGTACAGTTCTGCCTTCGTGGGAACTAGGACCTCTAACTGGCAAAGCCCACTGTTTTGGGAACAAGAAGCAAAAATTGTGCAGATCCAAGAGTGAGATGGGCCACTTCCACTTCCACATTGATTCTGAGACCTGTAATTTCTAGGTGTGGGGGACACGGTGCTATTCGAATCAAACACCATGCCCAGAAGTTCAGGGCCCACACCCACATGTGTCATGTTGCTGCTGGTGACTTCTGAGCATTCCAACAGGCTGCCCCACTGTTCTGCAAGGCCCCCTGCTTCTGGGCAGTAAGGCACAACTAAGTAAGACCAATGGATCTGTTGCATGGATTACCATATCATTATTACATCATTAGCATATGACAAATTAACTCAAAATGGGTCACAATCTAAATGTAAGAGCTGAAAGTGCATAAGTCTGAGGTGACCTCATTACAGTGCCTTCTTCGTGGAAGCACAGTGGACAAGGAAGACAATCTTGAACCCCAAGCACACACTGGTTCTAGTAAGGATGAATTACTGTGCTCTCCAGGATGGAAGGAAGGGATTCAGGGCAACCCACCTGCCACCAGGAGCTCGGCTGATCTTCTGAGGAGGAGAACCACACCTGCTGCTTGGCGTGGACCTTGCTTTAGAACGATGGAGCCCTCAGAGTGTTGGAACTGGCTCAGTCTTGATGAGGGGGAGTCCAAGGTATTGGGCCCAGGTATTGCCCCCATTCCTGGCACCATGGCCACTGTGTTCAAAAGCTATTGTGCACGGATTTGGGGTGGACAGGAAGAGGGGCGCTCACCTCAGGAATCATTCTGTCTGCATCTGGCTGGGTGCTCTGTAGGGTTTGGAGACCCAGAAGCTTGCACATTTGGTACCCACTTCCGGAAGTCTGTCCATCTACCTTTCTCTAGTCCTCTTTGTCAGTGATCTTGGTTTTGTACCTTCCAGGCTCCTGACCAGTGAGCCAAACCATTCCCTACTTCTCTAGAATTAGAGAATATCCACATCTCAGACCACCTCACCTTCTAGATGAAGCTGATAACCGAGCGTACTGCTCAAGGTTTTGCACACTGGGTGGAACTTTTCTTCACCACTGTCCTTTAGGGTCACCCCTCAGAGGGCCGTGATGGGGCACCAGTCCACCTCAAACCCCACCAGCATACCACACAAACCATCTGTGAGTCCCTTTCTTGTCATCTGAGAAGGGACACAAGCTTTAGGACCCAATATTCCCCTCCATTCCTATCTGCCCATGACTTCCTCTCTAATCCTGACTCACTGGGAACAGGTCCCTCACCCCCTGGCCTCCAGTCTTGCTTCACGTCCTTGCCAGACCAGGCTAGACAGGAGCTAGTGTCCTACTTCCTCCTGGGTCTTGGGGCAGGGTGCTGCCTTCCCAAGGCCTTAACATCCTCACTCAGTAACCACATGATAACAGCATCAACAATAACTCCTGTTGATGGGCACTCTTCTTGTGCCAGGCAGTGTGCTGATAAGCAGGGCCAGCACTAGGGTGAAAAGAATGAGGAGCTTAGGGTGCAAATTTTAAGAAGCTCTCAGTGTCATACAAGTGCCAAGTCCCTTAAATTTTGGGCTCCAGTCACTTGCTTTTCTCTAGTCCTGACCCGACCGATAAACTCTTAACATGTTTCTCTATTCATTCTCACAAGTAAATACTACTACCCCTTTTTACAGATGAGATAACTGATCCCAAGGTTCATTCGCCAAAGTCATACTGTTAGCAACCAGCACAGCCATGTTTTCCTAATTTTAAGGCCCGAGCTCTTAACCTCTCAGCTGTATCCACCCAACTTAGCCTGGCCTGAGCCCCCAGGGGAGGCTCCCTGAGAGTGATCTTCCACAAAATCAAAATCCCACTCAGATGTGGGCTGTAGGACCAGCCTGCACTGATGCAGGCAGGTTGGGTCCGAGGACCTGGAGGAGGGTCCCACAGGGTCAGGCAAGAGGCTGACCGTAGGACAGAAAGCAAATGTGAGCCAGAGAAAGAGAAAACAGAGTTTACAGAATAGTGTGAGTGACAGAGGAGAGCAGGTGGAGTGTCTGGAGAGAGGAATGAGTCTTGTCATTGCTTGGGGTAGGGGTTTGTTGATACTGAAGAAGGTCTGGCATACCTGTTTCTTGAGGAGTTCGTGGCGGGGTCCAATCAAAGGCGAGTGTCAGGTGAACACCTGGCGTTATTTCGGAACTTACTGAAGGTAGCCAGCATCAGCTGAGGTTCGTTTGAAGGTAATGTCCTAGAATGTGTTTGGGATCTGGCTCTTCTTAGGTGTTAGCAGGTGTGTGGGGATCTAGGCCAAAACTCAGAGAATGATTAACCTTCTTGCTTCCCCTTGAAGTGGGAGCATAGCTTCTTTGGCTTATTCAGAGGCAAAATATGAAACATGAGTAAATGGGGCCTGGCAGGAAAACAGTAGAGAGGGGGCCTTTCTGAAATGGAGCCTCTACTTCAGCAACCATGCCCCTTCTCAGCACTGGCAAAGCCCAAACTCGTTGGGCCCAGGTACCCAAAGGAAGGGGCCGCGCCCGAGCAGGCAGGAAAAGGGTCCTTTCCCGAGAATGTCCACTAGATGGCGCCCCAACACCGAGCCACAGAGCTCGAACCGCCGAGTGGGCGGCCCCCCAGCGGAGAGACGCCAGCAAGGCCCTCCCTCTCTCCTGGCCAGGCTTCCCAGAACCCGGCGTTGGGGGTTCCCACCCAGGTCTGAGCCTCGGCCTTTCTCGCGAGCGCTGCCCACCGACCCAGGTCCAAATCCTCCTCTGCTCTCCCCGCTCTCTGAATCTCCCACCCCTTTCCCTGCCGCCCTCAAGGGATGGACTCATGGCGAGGAGGCTTCCCAGGACACCTGGGAGAGAATCTTTCTGCTTTCTCCTACAAATTGAGCAGTGCCCAGCACCTCCCAGTGCCTCCAAAGCACTGCCTCTTCCCTCCGTTCCCTTCCTGAATTCCCCAGGCCCTCCCTGTCACTCCCACCCTCTCAGCTTCTGCCTGTCTTCTGAGGCAGGGACCATTAAGGCCGTTTCCACAGATTTGGTGATGCAAATACATGCAAATATATGCAAATCGCCATGTAAAGGAGGCTTGCCACTGTGGTTCTAAGTGGCTGTCACAGCTTCTCTGACACCTGTTCTGAGAGACAGCTGCCCTGCCCCCTCCTGCTCGGGCATCTATCTTGCTATTTACCCCCCTTCTCTTCCAAAGCTGGCTTCTGGCCCCCTTTCCTTCAGGGACCCTGGGTGCTTCTGGTTACAAAGGACCGTTGGGGGCTTGTCTCCAAACTCTCTAGAGGGGGCAAGGAGGGAACCACATCTTAAGGAGCACACACTTTGCCATCTGAAAATTACACCATTTCCTGCCTGTGTGGCCTTGGAAAAACAGCTTAATTTCTCTGAGCCTCAGTTTCATCATCAGTAGAACGGGAATAATGATAGTATTCACTTCATAAGGCTGTTGTAAAGATTCCACCCAATGCTGTGTGTGAAGTGCTTACAGTGTTGCTTTTGAACATTAGCTCTTTACATTGTGATTATCACCAACCCCATTGGTCATCCTATTCTCGGGGCTCAAGCTTGGAGACAAGGATACAGATGGACACGCTCAGGCGTGTGCCCATGTGGCCTCATCCGTGTGCATGCATGTGCGTTCACGCGTGCACAGCTGACAGCCTCACGCACTGGCAGGGCACATGCGCGGGTACACACACATTCAGAAACACACACAGGAGGAGGCTGTGGGAGGTGGAATCTGACTCATCGAGACCAGAGCTGTGGGTGGTGCTTTTGTCCTGATTTCCGGGGCTCCATGCTCCATTTCGAACAAGGAAATCTATGGGGGATGGCACAGCCAAGCCTCCAACCGAAGCTCTTTGTGTGGGCCCTTTCTTGCACCAACCCCCTCCCCAGCTGGTCCCAACCCAGCTCTGTCATCTAGGCTTTTCCTTCCTCTGACCTTGCCCTAAACGCCGCCAAGTCCCTGCGGGAAGAATCCTTGACGTCATAGTGTAAGCCCTCGATGACATCATGGAGCAGGTGCTGCCAGCTCCTGGGAGCATGACCCCAGGGCTTGGTGAGCATAGTGGGGAAGGAGGTCTGGGGGGCAAGCAGGTAGGCTTCAGTTCAGTTAAGTCCTGGTTTTGTGTGACCTTTGGTAGTTTCCTTAACCTCTGGGTCTCAGTTTCTTCACCAGAGGAACAAGGTCAGTCTTACCGAACTCAGAGTGTTTCTGTCTTTCCAGTGAGATAATGCACATAAACATGTCCTTTAGTGGCACCTGCATGGCTCAGTCGTTGGGTATCTGCTTTCTGCTCAGGTCATGATCCCAGAGTCCCAAGATCGATCCCCGCGTCAGGCTCCCTGGTCGGTGGGAAGCCTGCTTCTCCTTCTCCCACTCCTCCTGTTTGTGTTCCCTCTCTTGCTCTCTCTCTGTCAAATAAATAAATAGACAAATAAATAAATATGTCCTTTACGTTCATACATGGCCATCATTTTGGCTGATGCTTATCAAAGTCAGGACACAACGTCTGGGCAGCCCCACCCCTAGCAGTTTTATCCCCTTGCCTGGAGCTGCCCCTCCTTCCCAGTCCTCAGGCTGGGAGGGAAGGAGGGTGGCAGTGTCACCTGCCACACGGGGTCTCAGAGGGCCACCTCCTAGGTTGGGTGTGGGTGGGGATGTCATACCTGTGTCTCAGGAGACCGGTTCGGCCAGCAATTCTTCTCTCACAGGGAAATATTGGTCAAAATGGGACAGAGTTGAGAGTTCTTTCTTTGAAAGGAAACTGCCATTGACTGTGCCATTGACTGTGCCCCTGGGATGTGCCAGCTACCGTGCTGGGTGCTGTTTCACGGGAGCTCTTTTCACCTTCCTAGCTGTCCTATGAAATCACCACTAGCGTCCCCAGTGCATGAAACAAGAAGAAAATGAGTGACATGCCCAAGGACGCACAGTGGGTAAACAGAGGAACTGGGAGGCAGGCGGACTCCCATTCCATGCTCTCTGCCTCGCCACACCTATCAGTGGTTTTAACCCATTCATGTAGACTCCCTGGGCATGGCATTAGGGAGTATCAGTTCCCTGAATGTGCGGGGGGGGGGGGGGGTTCTCTATTTCTTGGGTCAGTCTCTGGAGAGCCCTGTGGGCAATGTCAGAGCTGGTGTAAGCTAGTTAATATACTGGAAATGTCCCCAGGTGTCATACACTTGGCTCCCAGCCAGTGGTTACATGACATCAGGGAGGGGACACAGGTGCACGGGACACAGGTGCACGGAGGTAGGGGGCAGGCTGGGGGCAGCCTAAACACCTGCTGAAGGTTCAGTCCTATGCCAGTGGGTAGGTGGGTGGGGAGGGGGAAGCAGCAGATGGACGGGGTCAGGGTGGGAACAGGGATGCTGAGTCGGCTCTGAAGCCCAAGGTGACTCGAGAATCTGCCAGGAAGAGGCAAGTGTGAAGGAGAAAAAAGGAAGGGAGGGGAGGGGAGCTGTAGTGGAGGAGAAACTGAGGCAGCCCATGGGGGAAGGACAACGGGGTCAGGGTGGTTGCCAGAAAATGGTTCAGTGTGCTGGTTCTGGGGTGAGATGACTCCCATGGCAAGAATGGTCCTTTAGTTTCCTCAGCTGCAAACCAGGGCACAAAGAGTGTGTACCCCAAGAACCTCCAGTTCTCTACCACCAGAACCTAAACTTCCTTTTGGCCTAACTGCCAAGAAACGAGCCACAGGGACCTGAATCACTGTTGGGCCAGCTTCAGAAGGC